ATGGGGCACCCGGGCCACAGCAGGGGCCTGTCGGGACCGGCTGGCCGCGCCCAGGGCGAGCCGCCTCGCCGCGGGAGGGAGGGGAGGGAGCGGGCGGGCGGTGCAGCCGGTGCCCGTGCGGGCCGCAAGCCGTCGGGACCCGCACCTAGGGGCGGCCGCTCCCCACAGCCCGCCAGGGCGAGGGCCACGTTGCGTCCGCTATCTCGATGGGGAAACTGAGCCAGGAGAGGCGCAGGGCTTTGTGCAAGGTCACGCGGAGGGGCTGGTAGCCCGGTCCCCGCGCCCCGCCGGGTCCCCCGCGGCGAGCCAAACCCAGCATCCCTCCCTCTCCCGGGGCTGCAGCCGGAGGTGCATCGCGCACGTCCCGCCCGACGCCCCAGCGMGCGGACCGCGGAGGTGCGGCCGGCCGGCCACCGGCGCTGGCCACCCTACCTTGCTGACTGCCGCGCAGGTGGCGGTGGCGGCGGCAGCGTCCGGCTCCTGCTCCGCGCTCCGCGCTCCGCGCCACCCGCCGAGTCCCCGCGSGCAGCACCACCGCCTCCCCTGCAGCCCGGCGGGCGGGGCCGGGTGGGCGGAGCGGGGTGGGTCCCGGCCAGGCCCCGCCCCTCGCCCGCCGCGGCCCGCGCTCCCGGTCCCCCGGCTGGTCTCCGGGTGCGCACGCGCTCGAAGCAGGCGCGCACCCCGGCGCGCACACGATGCGGTGCTGGCGGCCGGCTGCCTGAGACCCAGTGGAGGCCGGGGTCGTCAGACCCGCCTGGCTGTCTCCTCGCTTGGTGGCGTGGGCCCAGGGACTCGGCCTCCCGGAGCCTCAGCATCCCCCTTGGCGAAGTGGAGGCAGTAACCGCATCTGCCTCAGAGGCCGGTTGAGAACTAGATCAGAAGAGCCCTGCCGGGTACCCTGCGTGCTCAGAGACCGGCTCAGGGAAGCGCTCCCAGCACCCGGGCTCCTGGAGGGGCCCCCCAGGCTCCCCAAGCTGGACCGCCACTGAGCGTTAGGGAGGCCTCCTTTCCCCCGTAGCCAGGAGGGGGCGCAGCTGCTCAGTCTTGCCAACTTTGAGCCTTGAGGACGTTAGGCAATGGTGGGTGGAGATGGGAGGCCCTGCCTTTAATAACACCACCTCACACTTACTGAACCAGCATGTGATGTGCATTACCTATCATACACCCCTGTGAGTTTGATACTCTTACCTGTTTTACAGATAAGGAAGCTGAGGCTCAGAGAGGTGAGATACCTAGCTTAAGATCACACACCACCTCTCTTGAGAACAGCTCTTGTGCAGTAGGGCATCCTGAAGACCTAGAACAGTGCCTGGCACATAGTAGGCACTCAATACGTGATTGTTGAATGAATAGGAGAGTAAGCTATGCTACTTTACGTACGTTGTTACTTTTGACCCTATCAACCTTTTTACTTAGCCATTGTTACTCCCATTTCATAGATAAGAAAATTGAGACTTAGAATGGCCAAGTACTTGGTGGGGGTGGGGGGTGGGGCTATCAATGATCCTAAACAGCCAGGGCCAAGGCCTGCAGCTTTGAACTCAGATCACCAGGCCACTCCCCTGCCCAGAGCTGGAGGGGTTCTCCTCAAGCTCAGTGTCCAGAACCTTTCCCAGGTTGAGGTTCTGAATGTCTGGTGCCCCTCCTCTCCTTCCCTTAGTGCTGCCTTCCTGCCCAGCCTCCCAGGATGCGCTGTGGATGTGCCCTTCCAGCCTGCATCAGCCTCTCTCCAACCTGTGCCAGGATGGATGGTGGCCTGGACTGTTTGGGGACTGTTTAATGGGGACCTCTCTGGGGTCTGTGGCATATTGACCATAAGCCAGAGAGGAGGCCTGTGCAAGACACTGCCTGGGACCCTTCCTAGGGTTGCTGTGGGGTGGGATGCAAAAGGGGGGCCTTCCTTTTCTGCTCCCTCTCCTGGTCTAGGCATGGAAGGCGGCTTGACCGCCCCCTGAATCGCATACTTGGGGAAACTAAGGCCTGAGCGAGCCTTGACCTACCAGGGGCCTGCCTGGTCGGAATACCACAGAGGGTGGCTGACTCCAAAGCCAGTACCTTCCTCTGGAACTTGGTGCTGACTGGGAGGGGCCAGGAGCCCTCTCGTCCCAGGGTGTCCATATTGGCCAGGGTGTCCTCACTGTCCACTACCGGTGTGGGACCAGGACAGATGTGTGTGTGTGTGTGTGTGTGTGTGTGTGTGTCGGGGTGGGGGAGCTCTCCATCTATCTGCTCTCATGGAGCTTCCTGTACAGTGTGGCCCTGCATCCACAGAGGAGGGAGCTGAGAAAATGTCAGCACCTGGGGCGAGGTTCTGCTGGGGGATGGAAGCCCTGAACAGGGGCGATCCCACTTTGGGAGTCCCCCAGGCCCTTCCTCCTCCTTTGTTCAGAGGCTCCCCAGGGCTCTGTTCCCTCCCTTGGAGAATGGGGCCTGCACTTCAGCCTGCTGGGGGCTGAGGGTCTGGGGAGGGATGCTTGGAAGGCCCACCCCTGGGGTAGGAAGGAGGGGCTTTGGGGGACCTGATCCTCCAGCCCTGGAAGGCAGCAGCCCCTGGGGAAGGGGAGACAGCTGTGGTGCAGGGCCGGAACCTGACACCAGGGGTGGGCCCAGGCGCCCTCCAGGAAGAGCAGGGGGAGGGGAGCAGGGGCAGCAGGCTCAGACACGCTGGGGTGGGGACCTGTCTGCTCCCTTTGCTTATCTCTGATTAAGGGACAGCGCCACAATTCCAGCTTGGCATAACAATTTGGAAGCTCCTTCTCCTTTCCCCCTTGCTCAGCAAGCCCCATAGTGTGTCCACATGAGGCCAGAGGCCAGGCCAGTCCAGTCCCCCAGTCCTGTCCTTGTGAGAGGTGTTCTAGGTCCCATAGAAGGTAGGTAAGTAGGCAGGGGCCCTCCTTGGTTGCAGTCAGGGCCTCCAGGACCTAGCAAGGCTGTGTGACTTGGAAGGTTAGTCGACATCTCTGTGCCCCATCACCTGAGCTTGGACTGGGTGAGTAGATGCTGCAGAACAGGAAGTTCTCATTCCCAGCACCCCTCCCCAGGGCCAAAGGAAGTAGCCGGTCCTCATTGTCCAGGGGTCTGGATGCTCCCAGTGTATTGGACCACCCAGGCTCCACAACAGCCTGCATCTAGGGTCTAGAACCTACATTGTTTTAAAATTTATTTTTGTTTTTGTTTTGTGTGGTAATTCAGATGGAACCCAGGACCTTGTGCATGCTAGGCAAGTGCTCTGCCACTGAGTCACATTCCCAGCCCCCAATTTTAAAAAATCTACAAGGGGATTCTAAGATGCAGCCAGAAAGGAAACAGGCGACAGAGCTGGCCCAGTGCAGAGCACCACCCACCTTTCCAGGCTGGGAGAAGAGCTGAGGCTTCCGCTCTATGCAGAGCCCCAACTCCGATGGGAGTGGAAAGGGGGAAATGGGTGATGGGAAGGAGAAGGAAGGGAGTGAACAGGAAAGAGGAAATGAGGAAAGCAGAGGGATGGAGGACAGGAGGGAGCAGCAGCCCTCTGCCTGATCAGTGTTTTTTTTTTTTTGGGTGTGTGGGGTTTTTTGGGGGTACCATGGATTGAACCCAGGGGTGCTTGACCACTGGGTCACATCCCCAGCCCTTTTCTATTTTTTATTTAAAGACAGGGTCTTGCTGAGTTGTTCAGGGCCTCACTAAGTTGCTGAGGCTGGCTTTGAACTCCTTGTCCTCCTGCCTCAGCCTCCCAAGCTGCTGGGATCACAGGCGTGTGCCACAGTGCCCTGCTTGTGTGTTTTTTAAATATACAGTACAAATGCTTTATTTAACAGTTGCCAACCATCGGCCAAGTAGTAGGTACCCAGGGCCCAGCAGCAAGTTCAGCAAAGCTTCCGAGCCTCTTCTGACCCCAGCAAGGTCAGCACATCACTCTCTGGATGGGGCTTTGAGTTCCAGATGAGGGAGGAGACAGTGTCATCCATGAATTCTGTGTACCTGTGTGTACTGTCCCCGTGAGTCTGTCCTGCCCAGCACCTTGGGGACTCTGGCCAGCGGATGGGCTGTACACAGCTTGTGTCCTCCATGGTGCCGCAGCGGTATGGGGCAGTTTTTGCTGGAGGGGGAACGTGAGTTTCAGCGGACTCGGGTGCTTTCCCTCACTGGGGGTGCTGGCTGGGGCTGGGGGCTCTTCTCTGTGTGAACACCAGCAGCACCTCCTTTGCCCTCCTGGCTCCCTCGCCACCCTGGTGACCGACCTTACTTGCCAGGGTGCTGCCAGGACCCTGCCCCGCCCCCAGCACATTCCATGGAAACTGGTGGTAAAGTGCCTCAGCAGGCGCTGGAGAGCCAGGCCCAGGGCTCTGCCCGCATGATCACAGGTGCTGCTGAGAAATGAACTGTGACCCGTGTGCAGTCTCCGTCCCTGCCTTGGGTGGGGACAGTGTGTGTCTGCTGAGAAAGACCTGGGAAAGCTGGGAAGAGCTGACCCTGAGCCTGGGACCACGAAGCACAGAAGCCCTGAGCTCAGCGGTCAGCAGTGTGGAGCAGCCCTGCCCTGGGGGGCCGGGGGCTTGGTGGAGGGCCACTGCCACCACACTCCGCCCCCAGCTACCTTTGCAGGAAAGCTGACAGTAGCAGGGGCAGCCGCAGGTCAGAGTGGGTGTGTGACCAGGGCTTCTGCCCAGCCCCTATGCCCAGATCCCCTCGGTAGTCAGAAGAGCTCTTCCGGGGAGCCCCGAAAAAGAAGAAAGAGGATCCAGGTGCAGGCTGTGAAACCAGACCCTGGTATGGGGGGTGGCCTGGACACAGACCTGGTGGGCACTGACGGGGATCTGCTGTCCTGAAAGACAGGTGTCCTCATGACTCAGGCCCCAAGCTCCACAGGAACCAGGAGACATGCCCTGCAGGGTCACCTTGGAACAGCAGCTGAAAGGCTGGGGGTAGCAAACCCGGGGCCCCACCAAGAACAACTGGACACTGAGAAGTATGTGACTCCCAAAGCTTGTGGGTGGTCTCCAGCCCAGACACTGGTTTATAGATATAACTTAGAGGATGCCCAAGGCGGCCCCATGAAGACTATCCCGCTGGCCTGCCCACCGGCCTGCTCTGTGGGGAGGTGAGAAGCGCATGGCCTCCCTGGTGCGTGTGCGTGAAAGAAGGTCACATGGTGATGGGGCTGGGGGGTTGCCGTAAGGGTGAAAAGGCTTTGYCTAGGTGAGTGGCCAGGTCAGGCGTCCCCGTCCCCATCATCCTCACTGGTGCAGCCCTCGGTCACTGCTCTGCCCCTGGACGCCCGTCTCTCCAGGTACTCGGCCTTCAGCTGCTCCAGCTCCCGCAGCTCTGCCTCCAGCCGCTCCCGGTGGGTTGCCCGCAGCTGCCGCAGCTGCTTCATGGGAAAGGGGTTCATGTCGCTGAAGGCGATGTGCATCAGCTTCCTGAGAGGGACACACAGTCAGCTCAGGTGTGCGGCCTGCTGGGCCTGTTCTGGGACCTTGGGACACTTTTCCCACCACAGAGGCCCTGGGCCTGCCCTTGGGGAGCATGACTTGCAGGCAGGAAACATGAGAAGCCCTTTCCACCCAGAGAGAACTGACCCACAGGGAGGAACCTCAGAGGCGCCTCGCCCAGTAGGAGGGGTTGGCAGGGGAAGGCGTCCTGAAGAGGTGACAGGTGAGCTGAATTTTGAAGAGTGAATGAAAGTTGACAGGCAGAGGGGAGGTGGCAAGGTGGGGAGGTGGCACGGAGGCATTCTAACAGAAGCATGCAGGGCACAAGCCTAGAGGCAGGGCTGTTCTGGAAACTCAAATAATCTGCTTTCTAGATTCACAGCCCCGGGTGCTCAGGGAGGGAAAGGTGGGCGAGCACTGAGACTGGGCAGGGGTTGGGGCCGAGTGGCAGAGCACCTGGGTGACGCTGGTGAGGCCCCAGCGCGATCCCCAGCACACACACCACCTAAAGCTGCATGCAGAGTCTGAAGGCCAGGTTAAGGGCAGGATGGATCACGAAGGGGCAGGGCTTCCCTCCAGACACCCAACCTATGACGGAGGACCAGAATCACCACCTGGAGGCAGGGGCAGACCCTCACCTGCTGTTGCAAATGGTCTTGGTGAAGAAGCGCAGGTACTGGTAGATCTCCAGGCTGTCCTGCAGCCGCAGGATCTCCTCCTCGTTGTACTTGAAAATGGCCAAGGCATAGCGGAACACCACCTGGGGGCACAGCAGGGGCTCAGGTGTGGCATAGTGTGGGCCAGAATCCCCAGAGGGAGGAAACCCAGAGGCCAGGCAGCCTGGAGTCCCTGGGCAGGCTGCAGAGAGGGAGGCCTAGTGGCACAACATGGGGGTAGACACAGGAAGTGAGGGAGGCTGAGGACCCCGAGCAGGGCACAGCTTCAAAGGCAGGGATTTGGATGAAGTTCTAGCTCTACCTCTGGACTTCCCTAAGACAGGCAATGCACTGCGTCTGGTGGACCTCTCAGGGTGAATATGGTATAGTGTGTGGCATGGTAACACACCTGTAATCCCAGCAACACAGGAGGCTGAGGCAGGAGGATCAAAAGTTCGAGGCCAGCCTCAGCAACTTAGTGAGTCTTTAAGTAACTTAGTGAGGCCCTGTCTCAAAATAAAAAATAAAAAACAGCTAAAAATAAAAAATGGCTGGGGATGTAGCTTAGTGGTAAGGTGCCCCTGGGTTCAATCCCCAGTAAAAAACAAAACAAAACAAAAACCCCAAACTGTGTTGTTAGATGGGTCTGTGGGAGGTGGGTATTTGCCCTGGGTCTCCTCACAGTGTCAGGGCAGGGCTTGGCCCAGACCCAGGCTCCACCCTCAGTGCAGGGCTCAGGCCACAGGAGGAAGGAAGGAGGGGCCTGGGTGACAGGCAGGGGATGTGCATCCCTGGTCATGCTGGGCGCCCTCTCAGGGAGCGATTGGGCAACCTCAGGGCGCATCTTCAGAGGCAGAAGTGCCCCTTCCCTCAGGCGCTACAGCACTTCACGATTGCAGTCCTGCCAGGTGGACACTGTTTTCCTTTCTCCAAGGGCAGAGTCAAGACAGAGGGGTGGGGGGACCAGCTCGGGCCCAGCAGCGCCTACCTTGGTCCCCTCGTATAGGAAGGCATCCCAGACCCGCAGGAGGATGTCACTGATCAGACTGTCTGCAAAGACCACGAGGAACCAGTTGAACGTGACGAGGGAGAGGTCGATGCGGTGCTGCCCCAGGTGGGCCATCAGCCTGGGCAGCTTCTCTGAGAGGAGGTCCTGCAGCACCCGCTGGTCCACCTGGAAGGCAGCGAGAGGGCCCTCACTGGTGCCCTGGGGAAGTGGCCACCTCCCCTCCTCCCGGCCCCTCAGACCCAGGCCATTCACAGCAAGCCTGGGGTGCTGAGCGGCCCTGCCCTGCCCAGCACCGAGCACCTGCGGAGCTGGGACCTAGGGGCAGCTGCACATCACCTGCTGCTCCCAACACGGGCCAGGGTCACCTGGTTGGAGCATCAGGCTTTACAATGGAGGTCTCTGGGCCGGCCAGTTCTTGGCCACCCCAAGTCCAGCTGACCCTCCTGGTGATTCAGAGAAACTCATGGATGAACTGGCACGCCGCTGAGGTCCCCTCCAGGACCATCAAAGCAGGAGCAGTGGGTGGAGGGTGGGGACAACACTGGCCCTCTGGGTTGACAGATACAGAGAGCAGGCCCTGGACACACTGTGTTCTTTTCTCTTTTTCTGAATATGGGAAATTCTCCATAGCAAGAAATTAAAAAGAAAAAGCAAACTTGACCCTGTGACACAGCCACCTTAATTTCAGAGATGCTGAGACGTAGAAGTAAAGTATGGCACATTCCCAGCCCCTGCCCCAGTGAGGGGCCACCTGAGACCCGTGCTCTAACACCCCGGGGGGAGCCAGCTCTGCAGCCCACCTTTCTGCTTCTTCCACCCAGGCCACGGCACAGGGACGGGTGCGGCAGCCCCTTGGAACCGTGAGGTAACAAGCCCCAGGCCAGGGAGAGCGGAATAGGGAGCTAGGAGGAGCCTGATCCCGGAGGGCATCAAGAAGTGAGCCACCCTGTCATTATCTGAGAGAATAATGGCCCGCTGAAGCCACTCCTCAGCCGGCCTCCCACGCAGTCCAGTGCAATCCCTACCTGATCCCCACCTCCCTGCTGACTCCCCAGCCTCACTCCTCTCCCCAGAGCTGACCCTGAGCAGCCAAGGTCCCGCCCTCCAGGGGGAGGAGTCAGTGTTAGAGATGGAAGAGGAAAGGAGGGGAAGGAAGGACACATAGACAGCGTCCAGATTGGAGGTGAGCAGTGGGCAAGGCTGGCGGAGGGTGGGGAGGCTTGGAATGACTTTGCACTTAGGCCTCTTAACAAGCCCTAGCAGCAACTTTACTCCCATTCTAGAGCAGGCATGCTCGGGGTTCAGAGAGGTGATGTTATGTGCCAAGGCAGCACTGCAGGTCAGCCACGGGCAGAGCTCTGGACCCTGCTCTGCCTGACCACAGGGCCAGAGGGCAGTAGAGGGGTAACAGGTTAGTGGAGGCAGCCATGCTGCTCAGTGGACAGTGGTGAGCATGAGCAGGAATGGTCACCATCACCCCCATCCTGCTGAACTGTGTTCTGAATTCTTTTTTCCAGTACTGGAGGTGGAACCCAGGACCTAGCACATGCTAGGCAGGCACTCTACCGCTGAGCTACACCCCCAGCCCTTCTGAAATTTTTATTTTTGAGGCATGGTCTTTCCAAATTCCTGAGGGTCTTGTTCAGTTGCCCTTGCTGGCCCTGAACCTGCAGTCCTCCTGCCTTAGGCCTTCAAGTAGCTGGGATTACAGGCATGTGCCACCAAGCCCTGCTGTGTTCTGAAATTTGACTGGCAAATGGAAAATGAAACTAGGTCTGTTCTTCCTCTCCCAGTGACATGATGTCACCACTGGACTCATACCAGTCTGTCCTCTGGGCAGAATCCCCAAAGTTCTTCAGGCTGGAACCGCCCCGCGTCCCTGAGAAGGGATATTGGCCCACTGTGCAGGTGGAGAAATGGAAGCCGGGAGACTTCCAACTTTCGTGGTAGTCACTGACTCACAGGAGCAACTCAAGGGTACTGTCCTGCGTGGCGGCCACGTCCCTTCCCTCCCTCTCACCTGGGACGCTGTCAGCGTCTTACTGTAGTAGTCGGCTGGCAGGATGGTCTCCACGATGGCTACCAGGCACCAGAAGGCACTCTCCTCCTCCTCCAGGACCAGCAGAGCCACAGCGGCCAGCCTGAGAAGGATGAGCAAGGTGGCACGGTCAACGCCCAGCCCAGGGCCCGGCACGCTGCGGGCTCTAACATGCTGGCCGCCCTCACTTCCATGTTCTCAAGCTCTGAGACGCTGGCAAGTACGTGAACCTCCCTGAGCCTCGGCCTCGCACTCTGTAAGGTGATTAAAAAACCCACCTTCGGGCCATGGCCCCTGAGAAGCCTGCCTTTGGTGCTGCCTGGCACACAGCAGTACACTGCACAGTCCTTCTCTCCTGGAGCACCCCCTCTCAGGAGGCTCAAGTGACACCACAGGTAAGAGGGACAAGCCCCCAGGGCTGAGCAGGGAAGTCTTCCTGCTTCTCTATTTTTGCTTGCAGGCTGCATCCAGGACCAATCCAAGTTACACTTCCCTAATGTCCTCCATTGACCCTGTTCTCCTAAGATGCTACATAAACACAAGGTCCAGTATTCAAAACCACCTGGGGAATGCTGCCCACTACAGACCCTTTTGGGGGCTTATGATGTACACTATCTCAGAAAGCCTCTGGGGAATCCTGCAAGGAGACCCTGTGTGACTTTAACCAACCCAGAGTAACTGTGGGCCATGGAGCCCATATCGTTGTGCCACTAGTAATGCTTCCCTGGGTTCTCACTAGACTGGATTTATGACCTCCACCTTCTTTTGAGTTCAGGACTTCTAGAAGCAAGGCTGAGTTTCAAAAGAAAAAAGAAAACCTTTCTCCTTTTCCAGTGTTTGGGATAGCAAATATGTGGTATGTCTTATCTATGCCCAGGACAGACATAACTAATAGATCTTGGCAACATTCCCCTTGCTGATGCCTGGAGCAGACATAACTAATTGATCAGGGCACTCTTTCCCCCTGAGTTGAAGCTACTTTAGTGACTGCCTCAAGATAGGCCTCCAGCAGCTGTTTCCTATTGGCTCTCTCTGGTCAAGACAAACTCCTTACTCACAGATAGGAAAACTGAGACCCAGAAAGCAAAAGAGAATGCCTCGAGATCACAGTTGGCTGATGATAGAGCAGGAAGAGAACCCAGGAATCCCAACATCCAGCCCACCAACCTCAGAGTGTCCTCAGTCCAGGAGCTGGCTGCCAGTGCCAGCTTAGAATTTCTCACAGCACACATTAGAAAGCCAGTTACCTGAGGCTGGTCCCCACTTGGGCTGCTCACTGCTCAGACTCCAGCAGGGCTCCACCCTCAGGCTCTCAGGGCCCAAGGAGGCCTGCAAAGGGGAAATGAGCCAAAGGGGAAAGAGCAAGCTACTTTGGAAGGATTCCACTTATTTTTCACAGGGAAATGGCTTTAAAATGTTTGCTCTAAATTGGTATTAAATCACCGTGTTCTATCTTCACCGTCTAAACCGGCTGGATTTGTTGCCTTAGAAGCAGGATGTTATCTTTGAGACATGGGGTAGGGGTGGGGCATGGTGGCACAACACATGCATTTCCAACTGCTGCCACTAGATGGCAACTCAGGCAAGTGTAAGGGGCCTGCAGTTTGGGATTCGGGCCTCCAAAAGAACACACTGCACTTTCCACAATAGAACAGGCCCTTTCTAATACACTTAACTTTCTAGTTAAAGCAATAGCACAAATATTTGCATGAATACCAACTATCTGTGCTTACATATCAAATTTAAGTAAAAATAGCAGAGACAGAGATAGTAAAAAGTACCCTCTGGGCGTCTCCCTCTTCTTTGGCCTCAGTTGTTCCCATCTGCTTTCTAAAAGCAGCCTGTGCCACCTCCTTCCACAGGGGGAGCTTCTCTCCAGTGTGCTGATCCCAAGGTTCCCTGGCTCCCGGACTTTTTCCTGCTTTGGCACACATTGCACCCCAGGGCACCATAGCCCGTATATGGCTAATTGCATCTCATAGAGGTCACATCGGATCAGGAAAAAATGTTTCAGGGTGGCACCAGCCCACTGCCTGCCAAAGCTCCCACTCTGAGTGAGGGTGGGTTGTGGGAAGGACTGGGTGTGGGTGTCCGGGGCTGGAGCTGGCCCAGATGCCAGGCATGGTGAGGCTCTGGGCAGGTGACTCAGCTTTTCTGAGCTTCCCTGACTTGCCTGGAGAATGGGGGCATCAGTGCCCACTTCAGGTTTCCATGAGGATTACGTGATGTCAGGTATGTAAAGCACCCTCAGTAAGTTGCTTCCTACCYGACCTTTCTAAGAAATGGGAAAATCATTATTTGTACAAATCCCATGGCTTCCATTTCCCTGCACAGCTGCTTTTAAAAAGGCTTTGCAATTTTTGTTCCTCCTAGATTTCAACATGTTCACACAGATAAAAAATATACAGGCTTTTGCTCAGCTGTTGGTGAAGGAGTAGAATTTCTACAGACATCACCTGTAGCAGACATGCAGAATAACACGAATTTCAGGCTTAAATTAAGAGGCATTCCTGTTGGAGCTTAGCTCTGAATTCCCAGTAATTGTACATATCCATGCTCAATTTTACCTAAATTTAGGGTGGAATAAGAGTATTGAAAATATGTGCTCTTGGGAGCCATTCAAATTTGAGTTAAGGACACTCCGAATGTCAATTCTGGGTTAAATAAATGCCACACACCACCTATTCAGAAAAATACAGCAGAATGGCTTTTGCAAATTTTACTCAAGCATGTGTGTGTTTAAATGAAATCGAGTCAAAATTTGCTTTGGGAAATCTTCAAGACTATGCAATTTCTATGGAGGTATGTTCATGAAAGTTCCCTTCCACTTGTGGAGAAGACAGCCCTATGAACCAGGGCCCATTCTCATCCCCAGTCTCTCTCCTCTCCCCTGCTAATTAGACCAGAAATGGAAAGTAATGCATGCTGCACCATTCAGATTCCTTCTTTGGGATGCAGGTCCTGGGCATAAGGGTTAAGGGCACAGGGTATAAGGTGGGAAGACTCGTTGTAGCCCATGGCTTAGTGCTCTACTCTGACGACCTCGATGGGCTATAAATGCCCCAAGAATGAGTAGGTCTGCCAAGAGGGGTGGGGCCGAGGGCAGAGTGGGGTGGGGGCCATAGGCCCTACAGCTGCAAGACAGAACATGGGGCCACGCTGCCTCGGGGGAGGGCATTCCAGGCAATACTGGACGAGTGCCAGCCTGGGCTTCTGTAGCGCTGCGCCCCTGTTGGGCCATCTATCCTCAGCTCTGTCCTCTTCCTCCAGTTCCCTGAGCTTCCCCTGTACCATTTATAAATTCCTTCTTCCTTGGGCTCCTCTGCGTGGATTTTGTATAATGCTCCCTGACCTGGCCAGGGCTGTCATATGTGAACTGGGCCCTCACTGTACACTCCAGGGGACCACTCCTGAAGGCTCCATGTGAGTGGTATCTCCTGAGCACAAATCAGAGAGCACAGGACAGGGTCCTGCGTTCTGGCCCATCTGTCTTAAACATGTCTTCTCACCTGCCCGTCCCTATCTGTCCAGTGAGGGCCAGCCTCCCGGGCTTCTCTCTCAGGGTTTCTGGGAGGCCCTGAAAAGTCAGCAGTGCTCTGAAGGCAAAGGGTGTGCCCGACCGCCAGAGGCTCACCTGTTCAGGCCCTGGCAGTAGCCAATGGCTGGGTTCTGCCAGGAGAAGGCCAGCAGCACCCGGCGGAGCTTGTCAGGGAAGCTGGAGGTGGGACAGGTGAAGTGCTTGTTGTTGGGGAAGGTCCGGTTCAGGTCCAGCTCGATCTGATGGGCAGCAGGGTGCTCGCAGGCCTGGCCTCGCCTCAGCAGCTCCTGGTAGCAGCTAGGAGTGTGCAGGTGCTGGACACGGAGATGGACCAGCCATCTCCAGACGCGGGGCCGGTGTTCGCGGGGCACTCCCGCCCGCAGCAGCTGCTTGAGCTCTGCAGAGGGCGCGAGCTGGCCCAGGGCCGCCCAGCGCTCCCGCAGTGGCCGCTCCACAGCGTCAAGGGCCAGCAGGTGGTGGGAGCGCACCTCCAGCACCTGGATCCTGGCCAGCAGCTTCAGGTCTTCCACCTCATAGTCGGGCACTGCTGGGAAGCCGTACTCGTCATACTCACTGCCGGGAAAGACCCACGTTAGCCACACCTTGCAGGGCCCGTCCCTGGATAAGAGCAGGTGGGGGTGCTGGGCCAGGTTCCTCCCCAGCTTCACTGAGGCTCAGCCTTTAGGGCAGGGCAGGGCAGGCCCCTCCACCCCTCCCAAACTGCCCTGCTCTGCCTCCTGAACACCCAGTGAGGTCCTAGAAATGCCTGGTACATAGTGCCCAGGAGACCCTCCAATGACCTCCAAAGACCTCAGGCACCTGGGGCCAAGGAGCAGAACCTTTTACCAGCCAGTGAGCTCAGGGACAGAGGGGGACAGACTGCACCAATGACAGGAGGAGGTGGAATATTGGGAATGAGAAGCTATTGGGGGCCAATAGCTTCTCATTTATTCAACATTTATTTGCCCTTACTATGTGCCCTGCAGGTGCTATCTGTCGAGATCTATCTATCTATCTATCTATCTATCTATCTATCTATCTATCTATCTATCTATAGATACCCAGGATTGAATCAGAATAGTTCAACCATTGAGCCATCCCCAGCCTCTTTAAATTTTTTTTTTTAAATTTTGAGACAGTGTCTTGCTAAGTTGCTGTGGCTGGCTTTGAATTCCTGATCCTCCTGCCTCAGCCTCCTGAGCCGCTGGGATTACAGGTGTGCACCCCCCACCCCCAGCGCTGCCAGTCTTGTGATCTTGCAAAGCAAGAGTCAGCCTACATCTTACAGGGGCTGAGAATGAGGCTCAGAAAGATTAAGTGACTTGTCAAAGAGCAAGAGAGCCAGGTCTGCTGGGTGTGGTGGCACAAGCCTACAATCCCCACAACTCAGGAGGCTGAGGCAGGAGGATTACAAATTCCAGGCCAGCCTGGACAACTTAAAGCCTGTTACAAAAATAAATTTAAAAGGGCTGGGATGTGGCTCAGTGGTGGTGACCCTGGGTTCAATCCTCATCACCACCCCCTAATAGAGCCATGTCTGGCTCAAAAGCCCAGGCTTCTGCGAGTAGGCCACACAGCCTCAGGGACCTGTAAGCAGAGTCACACCCACGTCTGTTACATCTGTTACTGTAAGTGAGAGTGCCCTGCTCAGCCAGGGTTTGGCTTATCTCCCCTCTGACCAACAAGTCTGGGAGGAACCTGGGCCAGGGGAGACCTGGGGCTTGGAGGCAGCTCTGGGCAGGGGCTGCTCCTCTGAGCCTGCTCCTGGGCGGGCGCTGCATAGTGCATCTGGAGCCAGAGGAGGTCACGATTGCATAGTGCACAGTCAGCASGGCTGGCAGCAAGGCAGCGGGGTTCTTGGTCCTGCAGCCGCCAGGCTCACCTGACAGGGCCCAGCTCCACACCGCCATCAGCCGCGGCCTCGCTGGCTTCCCACTGCAGCGCCTCCTGGATGAGCTCCCGCAGCAGCTCCGAGCACTCGCCAGCCTCCGACCCTGCAGCCTCCTGCAGCCTCCGCAGCCCAGCCAGGTACTTGCTCTCCACCTGGCAGTTCCTGGCTTGGAGGTAGGCACACTGTGAGGGGAAGGGTGGCCAGTCAGGTGCCCTGCTCGGCTCCGGGCAGAGCAGCCCTTCCAGCTCCTCGCCCAGCCTCCCCTTCATGGGCCTTCACATAAGAGAAATATGGGCCTGAGACAGGGGGAGCGCGGAGGCAAGGAAGCAGGAGAGGGCTGGGCCTGGGGCTGGGCTCAAGAGAAAGAGAAGATGGGCCTGGGGCAGGGATGGACAGGCTCCAGTGCAGCCTRCAGTCCCATTCTGGTCTGCCCGATAGCTGTACAGCCTGTGGCAAGTCACTTAACCTCTCTGTGCCCTAGCTGGTTCATGTGCACAGTGGGGACAGCCTCAGGTTCTGGAGGGAGTAGTCGAGCTGATGAGCAAAACCCTCCCCGGGGGCTGGGCACAGAACCCTCTGCAGGGGGTGTGGCTGGGAGGGCCCTACCCTGTGCTGTCTGTGCCACGGGGTGTCATCCCTCCACACACAGCRCCCTCCCCCCAGGTCTTTCTGCGGGCGCCTCCCGGCCTTGAATTCCTGTTTCTATGTGTACAAGCCAGATGGTGCTGGGCAGGGCGGGGGGACCTCTCTGGACCTTGTTTTCTGTTGCTATGAGATGGGGACGCAGAAAGCTGCCTCAGAGTACTGCCGTGACCTGAGCCGCCACGTCCCACAGGTGCACCAGGGAGCCTCGTGGCAGATGCTGCAGTCCACGGCACCCCTGCCAGTCGGCAGCTCCAAGCACTTGCCCAAACTTCCTGCTCCCCGGCTCCCACCGCTGCTCCTCAACCCCAGGCCCCTGACTGCTTCCTGTGTTCTGTCACCAGCGGTCTTCTCAGGACTTCTGCTGGAGACTCTGGTCTCCTTGTGTCTAGGCCCTCTCCAGAAGCCCACCCTTTGCCRAGCAGCCGCAGCCATCTTCTCAGAACATCAGTCTGGGCCGGGATCTCTCCACTCAGACCCACTCAGCCTTGTCTCATCCTCCTCAGCTCTGCTTCATGCCTCTCAGGCCATAAACCTTTACCACGCGGTCTCCTTTCTTAGAAGGCCTTTCTACACTGCTGGATAACACAACTGGTCTTTAGGACTCACTCAGAAGACACCTCCTCCAGGAAGCCTTCCTTGACTTACCTTCCTACCTCCGGGCCCCATGAGTCTGTGAGTCCTAGCTGAGCTCAGCTCCCTCACTAGTCTGCACTCTCTTCGGGGCCGCAGCCAAGCTTATTGGTTTTGATGTCGCTTCCCCATAGCTGCCCAGCAAAGCACCCCGACTGGGTGGCTCAAGTCAGCCAGACCACAGGGGCTGGGGAGGAAACCGACACCATTCATAAGCGCTCAGTCCAGAGGGAGGGCAGCCAGGTAAGGAGGAGCATGAGTGGGGGTGGCCAGCAGGGGGACTGGAAGGTGGCAGGGCATGGAGATGGCCAAGCAGCTCTCCCCTGGCACCTTCGTCAGCAGCGCCTTCTCCTTCTCAGCCACTTTCCTCCAGATTTTGGTGACCTGGTGAATCTCAGAGTTGAGGAAGCGGTTCTGGGTCCGGTAAGCTTCCATGTCATCCTGGAGAAGAGAGCACAGCATTTCAGGAGTTGACCACGGATACTTCCTGGTCCTGAGGAGTCATCCCGATAATGACAACAGAAAAGGAAACCTAAGCTGGGCATGATGACACAGGTCCCTGAGCCAGTGACTCAGAGGCTGAGGCAGGAGGATTGCGAGTTTGAGGCCAGCCTCAGCAACTTAGCAAGGCCCTAAGCAATTTAATGAGACCCTATCTCAAAATGAAAAATAGAAAGGACTGGGAAAGTAGCTCAGTGGTAAAGCATCCTGGTTCAATCCCCAGTATGAAAAAACAAAGAAAGGAAGGGAAAAAAGGAAGTCTGGAAGGACAGAAGCACTGCCAGCCTCCTCTCTATCCTGGTCCCCGCAGGCTGTGGTGAAAGGCGCCTCAGGCTGGGGTTCAAGGCCTGGCTCGAGCCCTTGGGAGGGTCTCTACACTATTGTCTTTCCTCATTTGTAAAAGGGCAAATACCAACCACCCCTGTGGGCAGTGAGGACGCTAAATGGTCACACAGATAACACCAAATGTGGGGACAGAACACAGCAAGTGCTCAGTAGTATTCCGTTTTTTGTTTTTCTTTGTTTTGTTTTTTGGTGGTGCTGGGGATTGAACCCGGGGCCTTGTGCATGTGAGGCAAGCTCTCTACCAACTGAGCTACAACCCCAGCCCCAGTAGTATTTGTTTTAAAAAGCAATGCATTTTATCAAATATTTGTGACCATGAAGTGTCACTGTAAATATTGTTCTATGTTGTTATATAAGTTTTCTAGTCTTTGTGTGTGTGTGTGTGTGTGTGTGTGTGTGTGTGTGTGTGTGTGCTGGGACTCAAACCCAGGGCCTCAAGCATACTAAGCATGTGCTTTACCACCAAGCTGTAGCCCAGACCCCTGAGTGTTCTTATAAGGGACAGGGTGGCCTTGTACTTAGGATCCTTCTGCCTCAGTCTCCCACAGAGCTGGGACACAGGCTTGCGCCACCCGCCCAGCTGCAGTGATTGTTTTCAGTGATGGACAACTACACCACAAGTTACTTACAACCCTTTTCTTTCTGTTGTTTCTACAATTTGGGCCTTGGCTGGTTTTAGCTAGTATTTGATTTTGAATAACACTGTGAAGAACAGCTCTGAGCCTAGAGGGTTCCCTCTGCACTGTCTCCTGGAAGCAGCCAGAGCCCTTGGCCAGGTGTGCGAGAGGCTAGGCAAGTCTTGGGAAGGTATGCCCAGGACCTGAGCTACAGCCGTGGTTCTTGGTCTTTATTGTGCCAGGAAGGACGTTCCAGAAGCCATTCAAACACACTGCGCACACTCAGTCATCACTGATGAGTCGCAGGTACTCTTGTTGTGGCCCAGCCTTTCTCTCTGCTGCCCGCTGGGCTGCAGGGGAGTACCCAAGGGGCTGCTACAGAGCTGACCTTGGGCAGGCCCTGAGTGATGGGGACATGAACAGCATTGCTCATGGCCTGTCGCACTTTGCCATCAGAGACAGGCCCCATGGGCAGCCCCCAGATGATCTTGGCCCTCTGCTGGGAGGGTCTTCACTCTGGCCAGGATGGCCTCCAATGTCCCTCCCAGCCTCCTTGCGACCTTCACTTCCTCTTCCTAGGTCTAGAATTGTTGATAGGTATTTTCAAGACTTTGGAAATAGGGCTTTTGTCACATAAGGTGCCCCACTTCCTGCTCTAGGGAGGGCGGACGTGCTCGGAGTGGCCTGTGGTGTGAGCACCTTTGGAGCAGCAGTGGCTGGGGTGGCGACTGGGCAGCACCCTCCCATTCAGCTCGTGACCCTACCTTGAATGCTCTCCTGGGTTCAGAACTGTAGGAGGAAAAAGAGAGACCTCAGAGAAGAGAAGAGCCGCGGGACTCACCAGCGGAGCAAGGGGAGGAGAGGGTCTGGGGGAAGCCCCTGCTGCCTCCCTGCCTTTGCCAGGAACAGAACCCTGGGATTCTCCCTGGGCAAGGCCCTTGTGCCAGCATGGGAGACCTGGGTCCACACTGCATGCCTGTCCCTCATGCTGTGTGGCCCAGGACCAGTCCACCACCTCTCTGTAGCTCATTGTCCCTACCAGAAAATGAGAGGGCAAACTAGATTGCTGAGTCTTCCCAGCTCTGATACTCAAGAGGTGGCACAGTTACTGTCCCCAGTTCCCAGCTTTGATATTCAACCCCCCTCTTTTTTTTTTCCCAAGGTGGAGGAGAACGTGAGGATTGAACCCAAAGGTACTCTATCAYTGAGCCACATTCCTAGCCCTTTTAAATTCTGAGACAGGGTCTCWATCAATGGCGAAGGATGGCCTTGAATTTGTGAGGCCCAGACTCCCAAGTGGCTGGGATTACAGGCGTAAGCCACCACATCAAAACCATCATTTGTGGCTGGGCATAGTGGTGCACAACTATATCCCCAGTGGCTCAGGAGGCCGAGGCAGGAGGAGTTCAAAGGCAGCCTCAGCAACTGTCACAGGTTAAGCAGCAGGAAATGCAAATACTCCCTGAGGCCAAACACAAAGATGGGCAGATGTAATAATCACATTAATGTGACTCACATGTGCAGTCAGTTGCACCTGGCTCGCTGATGATCTAAATTCCTTAAAGATATGACCTCAGGGACACACTCAGGCTCATAGGTGAGTCAGAGAAAACCGGATGCAGCTGATCTGCTTCTGAGCCCTGTGCTGCTCCAGGGGTCTTGAACAGTGGGCCCTGTAGGCACATGGACGCAAAGACCCTGAGCTGGGGCAGGGTGTGGCAGAAGCACGTCACTGTGGTCACTATGCACACAGTCCAGCTCATATGCGTTTGAAAGCTCTGGTTTTGTTTTAATCCCAGACTCTGGCTCCAGACTGTGAGGGATTCCAGGTCTAGCTGGTTGTGTGGTTCTTCAGTTTCTGCTGACAGGRAAGGCAATCTGGGTTGCAAATTCACTTCCTTTTACCTCCTAACAGCCCTTCAGAGGCAGCAATGGAACTTTCCACAGAGGTGAGAGAACTTGCTCCAGGCCATGCAGCTAGAGAGGCAGAGCCAGGACTCCAACACTGGCCACCTCACTTCAAAGCTGGGCCTTGAGCCTGTTCAACACGCCCACTGCTTCTCTCKGAAGCTTCCTGTTTCTTTTGCTTTCTTTCTCCCCCTCCTTCCATTCCTCAGTTCCTTGATTCAGGAGCACAGGACTTTCCAAGGTTATAGAAGCGGCAGAACATGTGGCTCTGAAGGGCAGTGTTCGGGGCAAGCCTGGCCCTGGTTTTATATGGCTGCCTCTAGGAGCAGTAGGCCTAGAAGCACCTATTCCCAGTCTCAGGCTCCTAGGGTCCAGGTGGCACCTGTCATTCCCTCTAGACAGGAGACTGCAGCCCATGGCAGGCATCAGAACTCAAATGAAGTTCCTGTCCCTGGTGTTGGGGCTGGTCCCCGTGGACTGGGACAGCCTGGGGAAAGGGACAGGGACGGAGCAGGGGAAGGCAGGGTGGGGCAGGGAAGATGGCAGCAGCTAGAGAGGCAGAGAAGCTGGGAGGCAGAGCAGGCAGCAGACGTGAGCTCCCCATTTCAGGAGTCTGGGTGAGCTTCTTTACCTTCTCAGCCTCAGTCTTCCCATCTGTAATGTGGGGTTCCCGAGCATGACTGCCTCTCATAGGGCTGGTGCAAGGATAAAATGAGACAATGCAAGTAAAGCAGGCAGCACTGGCACAGGCCACGCCATCAATCCCATACGCAGAATGGTCACGTACCAGCCACAGTCGGCATGAGTACAGGAGTACTGGGAGAGGGCGGCCCTGGGGCGTGAGAATGGCACCAAAGAAGGCCATCCAGGCCGGGCCCCAGACTTAGCTGGTCTTGGACTTTTTCATCTCTAATCTGATAATCAGAGATGCCTGCTTTTCTGCAGCCCAGGACACCATGAAAGGGTCAAATTGTATCCATCAGCATCTACTTCCGGTACAGATGCTCGGAGGGTGAGCCCTTCTCCACATTGAAAACCATCAGCCGCCTTCCTGGGGCCCAGGGAGTGTGGGGAGGCCTACCTTGAGGTGCTCCATCCTCTCCTGCTGGCTTAGGAAGTCCCTGTCGACAGTGCTGAGGGGCTGGTCAGGGGGCTGTGTGAAGTCCTGGGTGACCTTCTCTGAGAGCTTGCAGATGACCTGCTGCTTGGCCTGGTTCTTGTCCATAAGCAGCTGCACATGCTGCTGCAGCTCCTGCACCTGCTGCTCCCGCAGGCTGGCCGTGTGCACCAGGCTCTCGCGCTCCTGTTCCAGGGCCTCTACCCGCCTGCCCAGCTCTGYGATCTGCCGCACTTTGTGCCGCACCAGCTCCAGCCGGTCCTTGTCCTCTGCTGCTGCCAGGTACGCGCTGGATGCCCTCTTCTCCTGCTGGGCGGCCTCCAGCGCCTTGTGTAGGATCTTCACCAGCTCCTGGGCAGGGAGAGGGCAGCATCTCTGAGTTGGGGGAAGCTTTTCAGGTGCCAGGGGTGGGCACATGTTGTCACCAAACCTACCAACCCTGAGAGGTGCCCTGGGCATCTTGTCCCATCTCTGTCCAACACAGTACTGGTTGGGCACACAGCTCCCCAGCAAAACACCACTTCCTAGGAAGTCACAGGTGGAGGTGGCCAAGTGACTATTCTGCCTAAAAGAGGAATGAGCACTGAGGTGTGTAGGCACCTTCTAGGTCATCTTTGAAATCACTAGACACATGCTCCTCTGGGCCAGTGCCCCTTCCTTTCCTTCCGGCTGGAAAATGGCAAGAATGAGAAGTCACCTCACACCCATAAGCTGAGGTATGAGGACGGCAGAGCTGCCCCCTAGCACACACAGCTGCTCACCTACCTCTCCATTCTATAGTGCAAGAGAGAAAGAACTCTGAATACTTATGGGTTCTTTGTTATAGCAGCTGAATCCATAATCCGACTCATACATGCCCATTTCAGGGATGAACAAACTGAGGCCCAGGAGAGTAGAGTGAAATTCAATCTTGAATCATGCAGACTCCAAAGCCTAAGCTTAGTCAGTAATACAACCAGGGGTGGCAGCTATGTGGCACAAAAATATTACTCTTCCCTCTCATCCCATGGCAGATATTGTTAGTTATGAAATTCTTTACTGCAATGCTGTGTCGAGGCCTCAAAATCCTTTTCAATATAGCATCACCAAGACAGCATTAGAGAGGAAATACATTGGCAATCCCCACACAAAGTCATGCACAGAGGACCTCATTCAATCTTTTTGTAACTGGCCCCTGAGCCCACTGAGTGTCACTCATAGGGCTGGTATAAGGAAGTGCTAGAAAGTACAGAAAAAACAGGCCTTGATTCCCTCCTCAGCAGCTGTTCACGTGGAAACTCAAGGTCTGCTGCTCCCCCGGCTTCCAGCCCTAAGCTCTTAGGACATGAGCCCGTGAATTCCTCCAGGGCCAGGGTCAGGATGCCAGCAGCCAGGCAGCCCCGCAGCCAGGCCCACAGCCATGGCCTTTTCTCAGTGACATATCCACTGTGCCTGTGCCAAAGTCTTTAAACAAATGGATCAGCTGGATAGGATTAATCGCTAAGAGAAATTCATTTTGGAGGAAAACTGCCAAATATTGTGACTATTTGAGAAGCTAATGGCAAGCCCCACTTAGCTGAGTCTTCTGAAACCTCGGTACTTGTGACCTCCTCTGGTTCTTTTCCACCCACTCACCCATCCATCCATCCATGTGTCCAACCTTTCTCAAGCAGGTGCTCAGAGCCATGCCCCGTTGCCAGAAGGAGGGGCTCAGAGGGGGACCAGTCACAGTTCCCACCTCCAAGAACGGGCAAAGGCTGGTGGGAGTGGGAGCGAAGAGGAACTACCAACGGGATGATTTGTTACAAGAGTGGAAAGCAGGGGTGTTTGTGGGGGCACAGAGCTGGGAGTGGGACATTCAGACACTCTACAGAGTGGCAGAGTGCCTTCAACTAAGCCCTGGAGCACAAAGAAGGTGAGAGATGACCGAGCTGACTGGGGGGATCAGCATGGAGGAGTTAAAGATGGAAGACTTTTTTTACATGGTGCTGAGGATCGAACCCAGTGCCTCACACATGCTAGGCAAGCGCTCTGCCACTGAGCCACCACCTCAGCCCCAGATGGAAGACTTTTTAAATTCAATCCCCATTCATCCACCTAACTTTCCAGACAGGGCTCCTCCTGAAGGAAGCTCACAGGGAGCTGGAGTAGAGGCTTGGAGAAAGAGAAGAGCAGCTCAGAGCTGTGGGAGTCCTTGGGTGAGGCAGGGGGGTSGGGTGGAGGGCCCTACACACTAAACCAGCATGTCTGGAATGCTCAGAATGCAGCAGCCAGCTTCCCAGGACTGTGTGACAGAGATCAACATTCCTGTGGCTCCAGGATGGCTGGCAGCTTAGAACATTTTCAGGTTCAGCTGAGATCTGGAGATTTCCTTGGGTGACTGCCTGGTGAATTCACTAGACACCACTGTTCAGACTTGCTCTGGGTCAGATCCAGTGGGTATCTTTTCTCTAACTTTGAGAGAGTGGAATCTAAAGTCATTTCATTACATCTGGCTGTCTGTGTGCAGTGCTGGGGATCAGACCCATTCATTCATATATATCTATATCTATATCTATATCTATATCTATCTATCTATCTATCTATCTATCTATCTATCTATCTATCTATATTTAATTTCTGGTACTGAGGATTGAACCCAGGGTGGCTTGCCACTGAGCTACAGCCCCAGCCCCCATCTCCAGCCCTTTTTATTTTGAGACAGGATCTTGCTAAATTGCCCAGGTTGGCCTTGAACTTGCAATCCTACTGCCTCAGCTTCCTGAGTCACTGGGATTACAGGAATATGCCACTGCGCTGGTTGCAAGTTGTCATTTTATTTACATTTTTAAAAGTCAATAAACTATCTTTAAACAATAATCCTTTGTTTTATTAAAGCACTGATATTTTCATCGCTAAAATTAAGGTGGGTGGGTCCAAGAGAGACCAGGCAAAGGATCACCAGCTTTGGAGTCACATGGCCTCAAATCCTGCTGTGGTCGTAGATGGTTTGAGTATCCCCAGGGAATGTGTGTTGAAATTTAATCCCTATGGTGAGGTATTAAGAGGGTGGCATTTCCATTGTGGCTTTTTGGAAGTGCATAGGATTAGCTAAAGTATTAGGGTGGAGCCCCTGTGACTGGATCTGGGAAGCTTTATAAGAGGGAGAGAGACTAAAAGAGACACTGATACATGCAAATGCTCCCTGTCCCTTGCCATTGGGATGGCCTGCGCTGGTTGGGATTCTGCCACCGTAAATAATTAAATAAARCAGCAGTGTGGCATAAACAAAAACCCCAATCTGACTAACCCAGTCCCCATTCCAGACCTATGAGAGCTTTTCTAACAAGGGGGGAGGGGGCTCAGGCTGAACCTTAGTTTTCCTGTAACTAGGATGGAGATGAAGACCCCCTGCTCCATGCAGAGTTGCCCCAAGAATGAGAAAGCAAGTGTGTCCCCCCCAGGCAAAAACAGCCAAGGTGCTTCACAAGCCTCTCCCGAGGCTGTCTGAGCCCACAGCCAGGGACAAGTACTCTGAAGTCTCCTGCGGGAGTTCCAGGAAAGGGGCCACACATGTCCCCACCACGTTTCCTAAATTATGTCTTTACCAAGTAATCCCAGAGAGCCAAGGTGGCCCCACAGAACCCCAAAGGGGTTCAGCCTTCCTGGCAGTGAACAGATGGCCAACACCACTGGACAACAGCCTGCCACCTGCCAGAGCAGATGGCTTTCAGGCTGGCTGCAGCTCTTCAGGCTTTAGTCACCTGGCCAGTCATCCACCTGGCACCGACTCCTGCAGTCTGAACCTCTATGGGGCCAGCCCTGCAGGTGCCAGGACAGATAATGGCTTCCTGGGTATCAGAGTTGCCATGGTTCCATGTGACACAGGAAGGCGCAGGGGCACACTTATTTTTCTCCAAAGAGCAGTCCTTTGCATCTAATCCTGGGCCATGAGACACGGGGGAGGGGCGAAGTTGGGTTGGGAGGGGCACCTGGACCTGGAGCAGAGGACCAGGGCCCTAGTTCTGGCTCTTCCTGTGGGTGACCTCAGGCAAGTCACCCAGCTTCTCTTAGACCCTCAAGCATGACTTGGTGAAAGGTCAGAAGCTCCAGAGGCAGACAGACAAGAGCCAAACTCTGGCCCAGCCCCCACAAAGCCCCTCAGGCATGTAGAAGCTCTCAGACCATCAGTCTCCTCTTCAGGAAAAGATGGTAACTGTCATGAGAACTAGAGATGACACACTGAGAGCCCTAGAACTGTGGTGGCACCACGGTCGATGCCAGCAGTTAATATGCTCAGATCATCTCTTCCCACTGAACAGTGAGGTCCCGAGGGTAGAGAATTGATCCTCATTTGCCCTCTGCAGCGTCAGAGTTTGAAATACAAATTCTTACAGGGTCACTAACACCATTGGCAAGGGCTTCCTGACTGACTGAACTAGGTTAAGACCCCGGGCAGCCCATCTTCATGAAGTTAGTGGTACAAGACTCCTTTCTTTCCTACCACAGAGACACAGGAAATCATCTCACTGGGAAATCTAGGGGCTGCTTGCCCTCTGAGGAACTGGCCTGAGGTCCCCACCCAGCACTTGTAGTGTCTGAGCAACCGCTGGACACCCAGAGGTTGAGCCAGGTCCCCTCTGCCCCACCTTCCTGTGTCTGCCCTTGGGTATAAGCCAGTCTCCTGCTCTCCTTCTCCTCTTTGATTTTGCTCTCTGGGGCAGGAATGAAAGGAGACCCAAGTTCTCATGTCAGTGCTCTGGCCCCATGTGCATGCTTCCTGGAGGCCCTGATGGGCTCACTGGGCCACCTTCTCAGAGCCTCTTACAGGGGCATCCTGCTCCTGGTAAGATAAGAGGAATCAATGCTGAGGACCAGGAATGACACAGTAATAGCCCACAGCTGCCTCTGCTGGGCAGCTGCAGGGTGCCGGGCACTGGCCTCCAGATCCAGACACAGGGCTCTCCAGTAGCTATGGCTACAACTCCATCCACACAAGAGCAAAGAGGCTGGAGCCATTGCTCATGGCCAGAATCTGGGCCTGTGCCGTCTCATGCGAAGGCCTGTGCACGGGGGAGGGCTGGAGCACAGCAATCCTCAATCGAAGGCCACGCAAGGTTCAGTCCCCTCCACCACCTGTCCCAGAACAGAGCTGAGGTTTACTGGGAAGTTACCTAGTTTAAAAAAAAAAAAAAATCCAGATTTTTAAAAGACCTGAACAACTTCCTCGTGACCTTTCCTTCCGAACTTCAGGGAGTTGTCCACAGCCTGGGCAACCCTTACAAACCTCCAAGAGTCTTGCCTTTGCTTATGGAAGGAAGGAGAGTCCTCCAGGAGACAGCAGTCAGGGCCAACCTGACTGCATCCAGCCTCCCAGGGCCTGTGGGCCACATCAAGCATTCTAAGGAATGATGATTCCTTAGAAAGAAAGGCTAGGCCAAGGCGGTGGACCGTGAGTCCAGGAATAAGGGGAGATGTGGGGAAGGCCGAGGCTACATTAGCCAGAGCCTCTCCCTCTGGGACTTCAGTGCACTAGTCCAGGGAGCAGGCAGCTGCTGCTGTTCTGCTCAGTGCTCTCTCGGCTCTCAGAAGCACGAAGCAGCCTCATGACAGGAACACCAAGATGGCAGGGAGAAGAGAGGCTGAGGCAGAAGGAAGACCTGAGTTCCCACATCACCGCCACGGCCCCTCAGCCCCGCAGCGGCATCAGAGGGGATTTCACAAGCTCTAATTATGTCTTGGAACGTTGATTTGTTTAAACCAACGCCTGTCCCTGCCATGAAACACAGGTCCTGTAAAGGTGGCCTCTCCTTCTCGCTGTTCTTTCCCAGCACGGACAACACTGCACTTACCTCACAGGCCCTCAGGAAAGACTAGGTGAATACACAAATGAATTGGGAACATGGGAACAAGTGAGCCTCTCCTGTTGCCAGCTACTTTACTGAACGTAACCTCTGACCTACAGCAATGAAACCTCTGTCAGTTCCCCTGAGATCTGCTCACAGGGGCCACTGCTCTGAGGCAGGAAAGGAGCAAAACTAGGTAAGTAGAGCATTTTTCTGGATTGTTTTCTCCAAAAACAGAGCAGAAAGGAAAAAAAAAAGAAAGGAAAAAAAAAAGAAAGAGAGGATATCCAGCAGTTTAGTAAAATACATTCCCCACAACTCCCCAGTCTGTAGTTACGGAGCTATAGCCAGTAAGTGGAGCAACAAGCGACCGAGGCCACACTCCAACACAAACGCTTAGGCCTTCCTCCCAGAGGAAGACGAGTCTGGGCTCTCAGTGAGGCAGCTCCTGAGGCCCCCAGGCCTCCCACTTAGGATTTAGGGTTATAGCAGTGCTCCCTGAGTTGCTTTTACCATGCTAATGAGAGGCTCCTGCCCAGTGCGGCAGCCCCCCTGTATCCCTGCCATGGCCCACCCACTCCTCCATGAAGTAGCCCGAGCACTCCATTTCCTCTGGGCTGAACTTCTGAACAATCTGAATGTGTCAGGCTGTGTGGGGTCTGTTTCCACATGGCCTCGTGGCTCTTCCTTCTGTAACTCCCATCATGAACTTCTCACTATGTTAAGTCTGAATCWTCCTCCTTGTCACTGTACAAGTGGCCCTGGCTCAGCCCTGGGCCACACACTGCCAGCTTTCTTCATCCTCCGAGAGTCCTTCAGATATCTGCATCCAGMAGTCACTGCCAGCTCAGGTCCACGGTCCCCCAGTTCTGTCAGTGACCCCTCCCAAGACCCTGCATCCAGAACACCCCCTCCAAACACGGCCCTTCCTCGGTGTTGGGTCAGAACACCACAGGAATGGTCCAAGAGACAATTATTAAAGTAGTTCTCCAGAGATCCCTGCTCTTGGTGGCCATTTATCACAGAGTTTGAGTGACAGCACGTCCCTGAGTAATCAACAACGGGCTGCATTTTCAACCTCCTGCAGTTGGTCCTCTAAAGACCACAGACTGGCCGGCTGCGCATCACCTTGAGCTGTCCATCTCCACAGGGCTCCCAGCCAGGGAGCCTCTGGGCCCGAGACCTGCAGGGAGGCAGTGCTCACCTTCTGGGACTTTAACTCCTTGGTTAGCACCTCTACCTGCTGCTCCAAYGCTACCACCTTCTCCTGGGCAGTTCGGTTCCGTAGCCCTTCAGAAAAGAAGGGGAAGGTGTTGCTCTGGCACTTGGTTTTCTGTGTGAGACAGGTGGTCAGGGAAAACTTGGGTGCAGGTTTTGGAGAATCCGCTGGCTCTTTCCCTGTCCAAGAGGAGAAATGCTGAGGTTAGGCTCCGTCCAGACTGTTCTCRAAGGAGTGGACTGTTTCCCAAGGACTCGGCCTCAGCAGCGCCTGAGGGCACTCTGTTGGCTGAGCCATTCTGCCYATTCTGTGTCCTGTCCTCCGACCCCAACCCTCATGGGTCTGTCATCCCACCCGGATGGGGCAAAGTCCTCAGGCACAAGCCTTACAACATTTTGCTTCTCACTACAGAATCCCACCTCTACCCTCTGGGTGACTTTCAAAGCAGATCTATCTGTTGATAGCAGCTTGGGATGAACAGCTRCTCTACATTCTTGCTCCAGAAAGCAGTTCAAGCTCTCCTTTGATTCTTATTGCAAGCTAAGTCAGGAGACAGGGTTCCCACAGTTGATGGCCTCAAAGCTGCCTGGTCCTTTTTTAAAAAAAAATTTTTCAGTTGTAGATGGACACAATACTTTTATTTATGTTTATGTGGTGCTGAGAATCGAACCCAGTGCTTTACATGTACTAGGCAAGCACTCCACCACTGAGCCCAGGCCCAGCCCTGCATAATTCTTTTATTTCTTCTAGAGCCGGCACAAGCAGCCTACAGTCCACAGGCCAAATCTAGCCCACAGCCCACTTCGGTAAATAAAATTGTATTAGAACATAGCCAAGCCCGTTTGGCCACATTTGTCCATGGTTGCTTTCACTTCACAAAGGGAAAGCTTAGCACTTGCAAGCCTCAACTATTTACTTATAGAAAAGTCTCCTTACAGAAAATATTTGCCAACCATTGTTTTTAAGTCACTAACCTGTATTCATWTTTTTGGTTTTTGGTGGTTTTGGGGATTGAACCCAGGCCTTATGCATGTTATCAAGTGTTTTACCAGTGAGYTTTTTTATTTTTATTAAATCGACAAGGTTGACCTCAAAATTGACATCCTCCTGCCTCCGCCGCCTGAGTTGCTGAGATTAAAGGYATGTGCCACTACACCAGGCTCTAAACTATATTCTTGAATCAAATTGAACATCAAAGAATCATTCTCATTGTCTGTCCCATCCCATACACTCCCATACTTTGGGACACTGCCATTGGCCTACACCCAAGACATTCAGTGACCCAATTACATGGTCAAGGGACATGAAGAAGCATGTTCACACAGGACAAACGACATTACTTGTTATGAAGTCCTAGCACAGAAATTCCCTCAGCCCTCTGTGCTAGGTAAAGCTGTTTTGATTCTTCTAAGAAAACGTGTCTTTATATTTCCTCTAAAAACTGGAACAAGACAGGGATGCCCTCTTTCACTACTTCTATTTAACATAGTTCTTGAAACACTGTCCAGAGCAATTAGACAGATGAAACAAATTAAAGGGATACAGATAGGTAAAGAAGAACTCAAATTAGTACTATTTGCGGACGATATGATTCTATACCTAGAAGACCCAAATTCCACCAGAGTACTTCTAGAACTAGTAAATGAATTCAGCAAAGTAGCAGGATATAAAATCAATACCCATAAATCAAAGGCATTTCTGTATATCAGTGACAAATGCTCTGAAAGGGAAATGAGGAAAACTACTCTATTTACAATACCCTCCAAAAAAAAATACTTGGGAATCAACTTAATGAAAGAGGTGAAAGACCTCCACAATGAAAACTACAGAACACTAAAGAAAGAAATTAAAGACCTTAGAAGACGGAAAGATCTACTTTGTTCTTGGATAGGCAGAATTAATATTGTTAAAATGACCATACTAGGGCTGGGGTTGTGGCTCAGTGATAGAGCACTTGCCTATCACGTGTGAGGCCCTGGGTTCAATTCTCATCACCACATATAAATAAGTAAAATAAATGCCCATTGACAACTAAAAAAAATTTTTTAAATTGCCATACTACCAAAAGCACTATTCATATTTAATGCAATCCCAACCAAAATCCCAATGACATTCCTCATAGAAATAGAAAAAGCAGTCATGAAATTCATCTGGAAAAATAAAAGACCCAGAATAGCTAAAGCAGTCCTTAGCAAGAAGRGTGAAGCAGGTTACTATACTACAGAGCAATAGTAACAAAAACAGCACAGTATTGGCACAAAAATAGACTTGTAGAATAATGGTACAGAAYAGAGGACACAGAGACTAACCCACATAATTACAGTTTTCTTATATTAGACAAAGGCGCCCAAAACATACATTGGAGAAAAAGTAGCCTCTTCAACAAATGGTGCTGGGAAAACTGGAAATCCATATGCAACAAAATKAAATTAAGCCCCTATCTCTCACCATGCACAAAACTCAACTCAAAGCAGATCAAGGACCTAGGAATTAAACCAGAGATACTGCACCTATTAGAAAAAAAAGTAGGCCCCAATCTCCATTATGTCGGATTAGGCCCTGACTTCCTTAATAAGCCTCCTATAGCACAAGAATTAAAATCAAGAATCAAGAAATGGGATGGATTCAAACTAAAAAGCTTCTTCTCAGCAAAAGAAACAATCAGTGAGATGAATAGAGAGCCTGCAGCATGGGAACAAATTTTTACCACTTGCACATCRGATAGAGCACTAATCTCTAGGATATATAAAGAACTAAAAAATCTTAACACCAAAATAAATAAATAAATAAATAACCCAATCAATAAATGGGCCAAGGAGCTGAACAGACACTTCTCAGAAGATAATATACAAGCAATCAACAAATATATGAAAAAATGTTCAACATCTCTAGCAAYTAGAGAAATGCAAATCAAAACTACTCTAAGGTATCATCTCACTCCAGTCAGAATGGCAGCTATTAAGAATACAAACAACAATAAGTGTTGGCAAGGATGTGGGGGGAAAGGCACACTAACATATTGTTGGTGGGGCTGCAAAYTGGTGCAGCCAATATGGAAAGCAGTACAGAGATTGTTTGGAAAACTAGGAATGGAACCACCATTTGACCCAGCTATCCCTTTCCTCAGTGTATACCCAAAGGACTTAAAAACAGCATACCAGGGACACAGCCACATCAATGTTTATAGCAGCACAATTCACAATAGCTAAACTGTGGAACCAACCTAGATGCCCTTCAGTAGACAAATGAACAAAGAAAATGTGGAATATATATATATATATATATATATCAATCACATTGGAATATTACCCAGCAATAAAAGAGAATAAAACCATGGCATTTGCAGGTAAATGGATGGAGTTAGAGAATATGATGCTAAGCGAAGCTAGCCAATTCCCAAAAACCAAATGCTGAATGTTTTCTCTAATATAAGGAGAATGATTCATAGTGGGGATTGGAGGGGAAGCAAGGGAGGATTAGATGAACTCTAGATAGAGCAAAGGGGTGGGAGGGGAAAGAAGGGGAAATGAGGTAGGAAAGGCGGTGGAATGAGATGGTCATCATTACCCTAAGTACATGTATAAAGACACGAATGGTGTGAATATACTTTGTGTACAACCAGAAATATGAGAAACTGTGTTCTGTATGTGTAATATGAACTGTAATCCATTCTGCTGTCATATGTAACAAGTAAAATAAAAAATAAAATTAAAAATCTAAAAAATATTTAGAGAATAGCTGGGTTGAGTTGTAGTGCATCCYCTCACCCCTTYCTGCCAGTGCTATTTGGTCATTGACACAATCAACCACATCAACTCTGGGCTGTTGTTTTTGGAGACTGACAGGAAACTTTGCAATTCATTGAGGTTTCAACCACAGCTATGAGTCTAGCACTCAGTTGCAGTGAATTTTTCTCCCATGGATTTAATAGAAAACATTTGAATTAATTTCACAACCTGCCAATGTTAATGTCTCAATATGAATAAAATACTTGAGTAAGTCAACTTCTTTTCCAAGTCTACACATTTATATATTTTAGCTATCATTTTAAGTTTTGTTGTCCAATTAAGTAAAACCAAATAAATAAAGGCTTTTCCTCAAAAATCAATAACAAACCTCTTTAGCTTAAAAAAAAAAGAAAAGAAAAGAAAAGAAAATGTGTCTTTAGTCTAATGGACACTGGAAACACACTATCCACCAGCAATTCCCTGTTGTTGGCTGCTGGGAAGTTCAGCACCACATCTGTTCCCCACCTTTAGGTGCTTTCTTAGGATCTTAACAGGATCTTATATAAATTTCCTAGCCTAAATGACTTTTTTTTTCCTGATATGCATTTTAGTAAACTATCACCAATCCTTTTTTGGACTTAGGTGCTAAAGATGTTAAAAAATAAGGACATGGTGTRGGACCCAGGATAGGCGACAGGCAGGGGTTGGAGGAAGGACTAAATGTCCTCRTGTCCTCCTGGAGGCCAGGCTGGGTGCAGCCAAATAAGGAATTACTCTTTGTAGGTAACAGAAACCGCATACCTCTCAGCCTCATTGGGTGCAAGASAGAGTGATCTTGTTCCAGATCTAAGAGAAATTCAGCTGTGCAGGTACAAAGTGGAGCGCAGAGCTCAGAGGACGCAGAGCCTCCTTCTCGGTCCTGTCCAGGAGCATGAAGGCTCCCTGCAGCCCAGTGGCCCTCTGACTACACCACTGTCCACCAACCCTGAGGGTAAGCTGGGGAGGGACCACTGTTCCCATTTGGTAGTCAGAGATAACAAGCCTCGGGCAGTGGTTTGGATTGGTGCCCTAGGATGTTGTGGGAGTGCCCCTAGAGTGACTGGGAGGGTGGGGCAGGGTGAGAGGAGCAGAGGGGCCCAGATTCCCATCCTTGTTTCAACTGTGCTTTGTATATTAGATTTTATTTGGGGGTCAAAGTGTCATGGCAGTGAAGATGTACAAATACTCCTCAATTTATGTGTTGATTATGTCCTGATAAACTTATTCTAAGTTGAAAACAGCATATACAGAAAATGCATGTAGTTCACCTGACCTATGGAACATCCCAGTTTAGGGACACAGTGCACTGWGTCCCCTCATGATCACATGGTTTTCCAGAAGCTGGGGCTCATTGCTACTGCTCTGTGTTGAGTGACAGTATCATAATGCATATTGCTAGCCAGGGAAGACATCAAAGTAGTTCAGCAATTTAAGCTCTTGTCTAAAATGCACAAAGCCCTGGGTTCAATCCACAGTTCCTTAAAAGAAAAAAAAAAAGTAAGATCCAGTTTCTACTGAATTCACATTACTCTTGGTCTCTTATAAAGACGAGAATTTTAAGTTGAACCATCGTAGGTCAGGGACCACTTTTAGTTTTAAAAACCACTAATTTAGATGAGGCAGCGGGCAGCCAGGGGGCCAGAAGGCTTGGCCTCAATCCTGGTCTGTCACTCACTGTGTGGTCATGAGCAAGTCACTCCACTTTTATGTGCCTCAGTWTCCTTACTTATCACAGGAGGATAGCAACAGTATCTACAGTGCCGGTTGCTGTAAGGATTTACAGGTCCATGTGGTTTAAATACTTAACACATGCACATGAATGAAACCTGAAAGATTCTGCTAAATGAAAGGAGCCAGTCACAAAGGAAGGGCCACAAGTTATAGATTCCATTCACAGGAAACCTCAGAGTAGGCACATGCATGGAGACAGATGGCAGATTACAGCTGGAGGGAGGTGGGTACTGGGCTTGATGGTTCAGGGGTGCAATGTTTCTTTCTGGGAAATAAAAATGCCCTAAATTGATTAGAATGATGGTTGGATAATGAACTGCATCCTTTAGATGGGCAGATTGTATGGCATGTGCATTATGCTTTAATAAAGTTGTTACCAAAAAGAGTGCTTAGTGCAGCCCAGCACAAGRTGCCTGCCACAGAATGTTAGTTTGTTATTAGTCTTGTTGGTTTGAGACAGCACTGACTTCTTTGTGGACTGGTCACTATGATCTCCAGGAGCCTTATGGGGTACTGGGTGCTGCAAAGGGACACCAGGTCCAGGGTCACCTTACACAGCCCAAGGGTCATCTCTRCCTTAAGAAGACCCCACACTGTTGCTGTCTTAGCTAGTTTTCTCCCAGTTGATTCTAGTGTAACATACATTCTAAGGGTACCAATGCCAATTCAAGAAGCCAACCCTCTCTGATGGTATGGGGCATTCACATTTTGTGACAGAAACTATGAAATGCTATGTCAACCTAAAGGTGCCTTGTTCCACTTCTTCAGGTAGATCTGGTTTTAATTGTCCCAGGAATTACCCTATGCATAAAYTGAGGAGTATCTGTACATCCTCACTTACCACTAAGTGGTACAGTGGGACTGAGGATGCAGCTCAGTGGTAGTACACTGGTACTTGCCTACCATATGCAAGGCCCTGGGTTCAATCCCACCAGGGGGTGGGGAAGTGCAGTCAGTGAGTGTTAAATCTTGTGTGTGTATGTTTTATATATAAATATATTTTATTTTATTTATTTATTTTGGTACTGGGGATTGAATCCAGGGCACTTAACTACTGAGCCACATCTCCAGCCCTTATTTATTTATTTATTTATTTTTTGATGGTAGTTGGACCTTTATTTTATTTATTTTTATGTGGTGCTAAGGATCAAATTCAGTGCATTATACATGGTAGGTGAGCACTCTACCATTGAGCCACAACCCCAGCCCCTCTTTTTTTTTTTTTATATTTTATTTAGTTGCTTAGGGCCTCACTAAATTGCTGAGGCTGGCTTTGAACTCGTGATCCTCCTTGCCTCAGCCTCTGCAACTGCTGGCATCATAAGTGTGTGCCACTGCACCTGACAAAATCCTGCTCTGTATCTTTTATCACCAAAAAAAGGAAGAAAAAAAAGAGAAAAAAAATCACTGTTCTTCAACCTCTGGAAATCCAGGAGAAGGAGTGACCTAGAGAATTTGGTCTTTGACACACACTGATGGACTGAATGTTCGTACCCCCAGGTTGAAGCCCTAATTCCCAACGCGACAGTGTCAGGAGGCAGGGCCTTTGTGAAGTGATCAGTGGAACCCCATGATAGGATTGGTGCCCTTAGGAGAAGAGGAAGGGACCACAGCTCTCTTTCAGCCTGGAAGCGGATCCTCACCAGACACTGCATCTGCAGCATCTTGATCTTGGACTTCCCAGCCTCCATTCAGCTGTGAGAAATAAGTGGCACTAAGCCACACAGTTATGGCTAAGTCAGACACACGCCTGGCAAGGAAGAGGGAGAGCACTCATCTATTCAGACGCTCACCTGGGGTGCCAGGATCCAGGCCTGAGGCCTGCTCCCCACTCTGAGTCTCCGCACTCTGTGGAGAGTCTTCTGTTAGAGATCCGTGGCCTGTTCCTGGCACCTGCTTGTTGCCACGGATATGGTGCATGGTGTTTCTGAAAGGAGAAGTGAGGAGCGTGAGGCTGACACCCTTCCTGTGCCTGATGGAACTCAGGCCTCACCCCCAGTCACACATGCCACTCCCRGTCCCCTCCCCTCTCACTCACCCCTTCCACACCCAGCATGGCTTAGATAAGCCTCACTCCCTCTCCCCCAACCCTGCGGCTGGACTGTGCACTTCATGCTTGCCTGTTGTTTATGGGTGGATACAGAATGCCTACAACAGTGCCTGAAATATAGAAGTGCTTCATACCTATGTGTTGAACAAATATTGAATGGACTTGCTGAACTAACTTTCTAGAAACCTCCATCTGACCTCAGAACTACCTGACTCAAAAACCACTGATGGCTCCCAGTTCTGCTGGGATACACTGCAAGCACCTCCTGGCATTCTCATCCCTCACCCCTTTGCTCCTTCCCCTCTCAGATCTGTCCTCTCTGTACCCTCTACTGACTCAGTCTCCAAGGAATTTATTATGTTTCATGATTTGGCCAAGTACTGGTCTAGGCTGAGGCTCCATGGTATCAATTTCTTTAAGAACTTGGCACTAAGTACCTGGCACTGGGGTGGGCATGCCCAGGCTCAGTGGTTTCCAGAAGGTACAAGGCAGCACTGAAGGCCTCTTGAGAGCACAGTCCACAGACATTCACAATGAGCCATGTGAAAAGACAGCTCTCCTGAGTTTATTTTCCCTTGCAAAGAGATAAAAGCAGATATAGTCTAAAACTGACAGCAAGGGAGAGAAGGTGATTAAAGGAGTTGACTATGTCAGTTTTTTCAAACTGTAGGTTATGCCCTGTTGGTAGATTATCAAATCAGTTCAGTGTCATGACTAGCACTTTTAAAATGAAATAAAAAATATCAGAGTGCATGCCACTTAGTGTTATATTTTGTGAATTCATGTATGTGTACCGAGCTATAACAAAAATGCATTTCTGTTGGGCATGGGTGTGTCATTGTGTATACCTGTAATCCCAGTGATTCAGGAGGCTGAGACAGGAGGATCATAAGTTCAAGCTCAGCCTCAGCAACTCAGCAAGGCCCTTAGCAACTTAGTGAGACTCTCTCTCAAAATAAAAAAATAAAAAGGACTAGGGATGTGGCTGAGTGGCAAAGTACCCTTTGGGTTCAAATCTCAATATTAAAAAATGCATTTCTTACTATGGTCAACAGTTTGAAAAACACCACACTAAGGAGATCTAGTGGGTGGCAGTAAAGAAGAGAATGTGAAAGTCTCCACAGCCATGTGAAGGACCTGACTTTGTTCTATTGTCCCTGTGTCTGATACACACTTCTATTAATATGACAGACACATCACTTTGAAGAGCTTTCATTCCACAAATATCTAGATGTTGAATAAATACAAAACCAGGTTTTAAAACACTTAGCTCAAATCCTAGAAAAAGAAGGGGAATCCCYCAAGGACTTGAAACTTCAGTGGGAATGAAAAGGAAGATGAATGTAAATTAGATTGCTATTCTGCAAATATTAACTACCTTACTACACCATGAGGGGAGAACAGCACTTCCTCCTACTCTAGATGTTTGGTGGAATTCACCAGTGAAGACACCTGGTCCTGAGGTTTTGTTGTGGGGAGGGATGGTGACTGGGGATAGAACCCAYAGAGCCCAGAACCTCACACATGCCAGCTAAATGCTCTAACACTCAGCTACAACCCCAGCCCCTTTTATTTTTAGTTCTGAGATAGTTTCTAACTAAGTGGCCCAGGCTGGCCCCAAACTTATGATCCTCTGGCCTCCAACGCCTGGGGAGCTGGGAGTACAGRTGTGTGTCATCATACCTGGCCTGAGTTATTTTATATTATAAATTCAATCTCTTTACTATTTACAAGGTCTATGCAGATTTTCTATTTCTCTTTGAGTYAGATCTGGTAATTTGTGTCTAATAATCCATTGTATCCAAGTTATCAAATTTGTTGACATATATAATTGTTCATAGRATTCCTTATATTCCTTTTTATTTCTGKAAGATCAGTAGTAATGCCTCTTCTTTTGTTCCTGACTTTAGTAATTTGAACTTTGTCCTTTTTCTTGGTCCATCTATCTAAAGGTTTGTTGATTTTGTTAATCTTTTCAAAGAAAAACCATTTGGTTTGAAATTTAAGTTTTAAAACCCAGATTTCGGGTATAGTCAGATCCAGAATAAGAACTAGAATGAGACTATACTTTCATGGATTGATGGAAGGTAAAATTCATCAGTTAATTATGAGCAGAAAAGAAATTAAAATTCAGCACTCTTAGTACTTGACCTTGGAATTTTCTCTCACACTCCTTTTGCCCTGTATTACTAAGGGGCCCTGACTCTTGGCCCAGCTACTTCCCCTTCCTAGTTCTTACTCTCCCCATGTAAAAATTAAGGAGGGGTGGGCACACTAAAAGAACAGCGATGCTGAGTGTGGTGACACACACCTGTAATCCCAGCTACACACACCTGCAATCCCAGCTACTCAGGAGGCCAAGGCAGGAGGATCACAAGTTTGAGGGCAGCCTCAGCAACTTAGTGAGACCTAGTTTCAAGAAGGAAAACAAAAAAGCGAGAAGGAGAGAATAATGACGACCATGATGGGAGCTGCTACTTATATCACTTTGTGCTGAGCCCTGTCACACGGATTTCATAAAYCATAAGCCACATAAATTGGAAAGGGAGCCAGGGGCACATCCCTGGAGCCAGAGGCACTTAAGGGTGGGGTAATTATCATTGTTGCCAACATTTCCTCTTGCCCCAGAATGGCAGCCTCCCTAATAAGTCCCAGGACATGTGACTAGTCATCCCTGGGGTGTGGAAGAAACCCCAACTTTAGGGCAGCAAAGGGCCTTCTGAGCCCTATTCGCATGTATCTCCCCTGGGRTGGGAGCGCTCTACCTTCAGACAGTGCTGCTGGCCGCTGCTCGTCTAAGCCAGTGTTTCTTGGAAGAGATCTCTGTTTCATACAGGTACCAACTTCACTTGGAGCAATTTGTAGAGCATTTTCTGTGCAGGTCTGCTCCATTCTGAAAGGCCTGGCCAGCACCGCACTGATGGTTATAGAGGCTTATACACAAGGGATAACGTTGGGCCAGTTTCCTCCCTGAGCCTCAGTTTGCTCATCGCCATGGGGGCAATGAACATATCYGCACCAAACACTGGCTGGGCCCCTCCATGGGCCAAGTTCTAAGCCAAAACACTATAAGGCATTTCACTCATTTCATCCGTGAAACAGTTCAATGAAATAAGCACTATGGTCAGACCCACCGGAGGAGCAGAACTGAGATCCCAAGGGGACCGGCAACCAAAACCACAGAGCTGGTAGGTGGCAGCTGAGCGTCAGACCTGGATGTCTAACTCCTCGGCTCGAGAGCTTAACCACGCAATGACACCACTTYACAGATCTGTCCAGACAGCCGGATGAGAGCATAAAGCATCCCACACAGTGGTCAGGAAGTTCCCTAAGCCTGGTATGACCTGCGCTCACCGCAGCACCCATGACAAGCTCCCAAACTTGCCAGGGCAAAGGCAGCTCTGCTCTTACATCAGAACTTATCTCTGGTCTTATCCAAGGGCTGCTGGGGCTCTCAGCAGTCAGGCACTCCTCTTGCTTCATGCCTGTGGCTATCACAAGTTACAGGAGGGAAGTGACTGAGCGATGCTCTGAAATTTCCTTCCCTTCTCAGTCTCTGTGTTTTCTCTGTGCCATTTCTGTTGCTGTGGCTTCCACCAGCATGAACCCAGCCTAATCTTGGTGAGCTGCCCTGGGTGCACATTGCCTGGGTGGCAGGTCTCCCCTTTTCCCAGCATGCTCCTAGTGTACCCAGTTCCTCTCAGCTTCTCGAGAGGGACGGTCCCCTGCAGCATATCCCCCTGGCCCACACACCTGGGGGGCTCAACCAGACTACACATGACCCCAAGACACTAGCTCCAGCTCCCATCTCTCCTCAGGCTCCAGGGCTTCCTGTCTAAATGTCTTTGGGATAGCTCTGCCTCCAGCCAGCAACCCCAAAGGACACTTACTCATCATCTTTCCTCCGACACCTGCTTCTCTCCTAGGAAGGGTCACACACAGTTGGGGCCCCTAATCCAAGTCCAGTGAGCAATCTATTYTGTCTTCTAAGAGGTCCCAGTGTGTCCAAAGTCCACAGAGAACACAGACGCCCAAACAGGATCAGCATTGGGCATAGTTTGCATTCCTGAAAGTTTCTTTTCCTTTAACTAGAGCAACTATGGCAGCTGCGGAAAGGATTTATTACAGGATTGTGATTGCCAAGTCCAGTTCTAGAGCAGTTTGCATGCATTCAGCCACTCAGACCGACATAAACCTTAAGAGGCAATCACTGCTGTGCTTACAGGAACTAACAAGGTTACTAAAGCACAGAGAAAGCAAACAATTTGTCAAGGGCAGCACAGCTCATGACTGACAGAGCCAGGATCCAAACACAGGCACTTTGGCCCCAAGGCCCAGTCCATGCTGCTATCTTTTGTGTGTATGTCGGGGGGAGGGGTGGTATACCARGGAACTCAGGGGCACTCAACCACTGAGCTACATCCCCAGCCCTATTTTAGATTTTATTTAGAGACAGGGTCTCACTGAGTTGCTTAGCACTTTGCTTTTGCTGAGGCTGGCTTTGAACTCATGATCCTCCTGCCTCAGCCTCCTGAGCCTCTGGGATTACAGGTATGTGCTACTGCACCCAGTTCATACTGCTATCTTTTTATGCAGTTTAAAATAAAGCCTGATACTGGGAAAGGGTATATGTAATACAATATTAAGTGAAAAACACAGTTCACATCTGCTTAGCATACAATAAGTTGCACATGATAAGAGAATAATTTAACACAGACATTCTGAAACCATCACATTACAATTCCAGGTACCTGGGAGGCTGAGGCAGGAGCATCTCAAGTTTGAGGCCAGCCAAGGCAATTTAGCAAGACCCTGTCTCAAACTAAAAAATAGGAAGGGCAGGGGTTGTAGCTCAGTGGTAGAGAACTGGTCTAGCCCAAGCTAAGCCCTGGGTCCAATCCCCAGTACTATGGGAAAAAAATTGCTATGAATGTCTGTCCGGGTTATAGAATATGAGTAAGTCATTCATTATTTCCTTTCAGAAGTTTCTAATTTCCTACAATGGACATGTACTACTTTTTATCCCCCTTTTTATTGGTGCATTATAATTATACATAWCAGTGGAATTCATTGTTACATATTTGTACATGAAGGCAATATAACAGTATAATTTGGTCAATGGTACTTCTTTTCGGATCAGTATTCTAAATGATATAATTAACTGGAACTAAAGCCCATGACTGTCCATCCCTCCACCTCCCTGCAAAACCCCACCAGGTCAGGCTCCACAGAAAGGGGCTGCTGGGGTCAGGCCGGCCCCGGGGCCCCACTGGCACTTACTGTATTTCAGTTCCCAGGTGCTTGAGGGAGATGTTCTGAAGGGCCAAGGGCATGGCAGGGACAGGTTGCAAGGCAGCTGCCGCACCCACGAGCCCAGTGGGCGTTTTCACAGGGCAGAACTCCTCCAGCTCTGCTTCCTCTTGCCCTGGGGAGCCAAGGACAGAAAAATCAATCCCCAGGACTCTGCACTAGGAAACACTTAGTCCAGGGCTATGGCTCATCTCTGAACAACATCAGGGAGGGTGTGTGCAGCTGCACAGTCAGCGAGTATCCACCTTAGGTTAAAAGCAGCACTTTGTGCTCCATGTTCTGAAGCCATTTTGCTAGGGAAACCTTCCTAGAAACCCTTTAAAAACATGCAGAACTGCAGACCATTCTACATCTGAGAATCCATACTAAATAATTCTGCATGCCTGTATTCCCAGTGACTCAGGAGGCTGAGGCAGGAGGACCACAARTTCAAGGCCAGCCTCAGCAACATAGCAAGGCCCTGTCTCAAAATAAAATTTTAAAAACTAGGGCTGTAACTCAGTAGTACAGTGCTTGCTTAGAATGCACAAGATTCTGGGTTTGATCCCTAGGACCCAAACAAAGCAAAACAAAACACCAGCCAGGGATGGTGGTACACACCTGTAATCCCAGCAGCTCAGGAGGCTGAGGCAGGAGAATTGCAAGTTCAAAGCCAGCCTCAGCAACTCAGTGAGCCATTGTCTCTAAATAAAATACAAAAAAAGGGCTTGGGATGTGGCTCAGTGGTTAAGCACATCTGGGTTCAATCCCTGGTACCAAACACAAAACAAAACAAAAAACACTCRGAACAGGTTAAGCAAATCATTACGCCTTCATAAAATGAAATATTACTCAACTATTTAAAATTATATTAATGAGCAATGTGTAAGAACACAGGGAACATAAATGAGATAACACTAAATGGAGTAAGCCAGATTTTTTTTAAAAAATGGAATTATAGTATGCTCTAAGGGTATAGAAAAAGTCTCAGAAATATACTCTTAACAGAAGTTAGGGCTGCATGATGGAATTAGGAGTGAGCTACTCTTATTAAGTTTTTCCCCAAAATTTTCTACAGTAAACATGGCTTACTTTTATAAACAAAAGAAAGAATATGTATTCATCAAAGATAATGTTTATAAAAAGATTTTCAAACACAGGTCCAGGGTCACAATCCTAAGTACCAAAACCAAAGAAGGACATTTTACAGTACCTGGGATTGAACTCAGGGGTGCTCTACCACTAGCTACCTCCCAGCCCTCTTTTAAWTTTTTTTCATTTTGAAACAAAGTCTTGCTACTTTGTTGAGGCTGGCCTCAAACTTGTGATCCTCTTGCCTCGACTTCTGGAGTAACTGGGATTAAAATTCAGTGCCACGGCACCTGGGAAAGTAGGACATTTTGTGTTATTATATGATCCAAAATACATTTAAATAAAAAGGGGACAGGAGGTCCTTTATCACATCCACACTGATTTTCTGTATTCCAAATGTTCTGCTTAAATGAGGATTCTTTTATAGTGAGTGACTTCAAAATGTTTAATGTTAAGAAAAGTTTCCAGGCTAAGGAAACATTATTTGAAGTATAAGAGAGAGGAGGTGGCATGTTTAGAAGTTTATTTGGAGTGTACAATATGCGCACAAGAACCACAACCACTTATGGAATGGAACAATCTTGACAAATTAAGAAACTCACAAGGAAGCTGACATTTTTTATTTGGAGCCCTTTGATTGAGATGGTAAAAAATTTAGGGGTGGAGGAAATTTATTTTTGCATTACATCTATAAAGAGGGTGTGGGTACAAAATGTAAGTATAATTGTGGAAGTCAAGGAGAGTTGTTTGACTAAAGAAAAACTGCAATCACYGAAACAGCATGGATAACACATTTGCTAATTCCCAATAGGCTTCACTGGGTCCCACAGGCTGGCTAGTACCAGGAAACACCAAAGCCACTCTTTTGAGGTTCTCCCTTCAATTCACCCTCTCATCACACCTAGACGAGGTGTCTACCCTGAGGTTTCCAAGTGTGGCTAAAAAAGTGAGATGAATCATAACTGTGGGAAGCTCAAAGCCTATGAAGCCAGCAAGGGGAAAATGCACACACTTCTGAAATACCAGGTGGGCTGGAGCCGGGGCAGGGGGCCATTCTATAAGGTGGAGGCAGAATCCTTCCGACTTGAGCAAGGGAAGATCTTTTGGAGAAGGAAAGCTAGAAATGGGACTTGGGGCTGGGATTGATCTGAATCTGCCTAAGGAATAAGGGAGAATCTTTCTGTGTCACATACAGGCAGCAGGGAGAGGTTCCAGTACCAGAGCTAAGCATGCAAATAGGGACCCAGGGGACAGAAAGTTGGGAAAGTCACATGGGAAGGAGTATAGCTAAGAGGCTGGATCACATCTGGTCCCAAATGGGGTGGGGGTGGGTGGGGAGGTGGTACAGTTTAAGCAGGAGCCTGAAGTACTAAATCTGGCTTTGGTTGGAATATCTGAGGCCAACCCATTTCTATGGGGTGACACTGTGACCTGGCTGGAAATCACTTTTAAAAAAGCAGAAAGGATACTCTCTACCTTGCCTCCTTCAGAGTTAAAGTATATAAAATTATTTAGAAAAGGCTAAAATCCCACAATGTGTACTCAAATATTTCAGCGTATTCTTTAATCCAGACTTTGAACTGATTCAAGGTATTTTGTTGTTTATCAATACTTTAACCACTTTCTTCTCCCTCATTCAGAACAATCAAAACGTTAGTTTTCCTAAGATTTTAATGTATTACCAAGTATTTCCTTAACTGCTGATATCTGCTCTCCTATAACTCCAACAATTTACCAGTGAGGAAGGAGCAGCTCAGAGAACACGAGCTTCATGGCCAAGGTCAGAGCTAGCAGGTGACAGTTGAGGACTCAAGTGCAGTCTTCCTCTTGCTTTTCCCATTAAGCCACATGACTCATCAGGGAAAGAAGACTTACAGATGGGAGGGGTTGCCAAGGAGGGCACAAGCTCATGCAGGGGGTGTAAGAGATAGGTCATACATGGTGGCCATGCCACAGCTGAGGTTACTGCTTCCCACAGGAGACAGAATACATGACCCAAGGCCTTGCCCTCTCTAGCCTCATTTCTCCAGGGAGAAATGCCCTCAACGAGGTGACCACATAATGCATACTTGGTAGCATTTGTTTATAATTCTCCTTTTGCCTGAGCCCTAGGAGCTGCCCATCACCAGTGGGAAGAAGACACTGTCTTGACAAGAAAGGGCCCAGGAGGTCATTGCTTCCCTGGAGGGCCCTTGGCAGATGGCTGAGTGCCTTCTCAGCTTTGGGAGGGGTGTATGAGTCCACAGAGTATGGTTCAAATTTCAGGGCAGACATTTCCTAACTAGTGAGCTTCAGCTGCTTCTTCTGTACCATGTGAATAATGCCCATGAGATTTTTGTAAGGACTAGTAATAAGATACAAGCTCTAACGTCATAATTTTATGATGATAGACATGTATAAATGTCATCTACATATTGAAGCTTACCTTGACAATGTACTGTTATTATAAATCTATTGGTTTCCCTTTGATCTTTCTTGACTCTATGGAGACCACTGTTTAGGAGAAGTACGAAATAAAGTTGTAAATACTAAAATACTGTAGAGATCATGACTTGCAGATTGCTCAAGGCAGGGACAAAAGAATTTTTACAAGACGGAGCTTCTGTGAGTCAAAGTCAGATGTGGGTCAGAAGGTTTTTGCCACCTGGGAGTGGCCCCTGTTTCCTCAGGAAAGGGAAGGGCCTCCTGCTCGGACAGCTGCTAATCCAGGCCTTGTCAGCTTGCTCAAGACTCCACAAACAATGCTCAGGGGTCTTGGGAAGGTTTCCTCTCAGGCCCTGGGTCCAGGAGGTTGTGGGCTTGCTACGGGACAAGGAAAGGCTTCAGGAGGGGAGCCCGAGTCTCTGTGTCCTTAGTCCCACACTAGCATCCACCTTGGGACACCAGTGAGTGCCCTGGTCATCATGACAACACACCCCCTGCSGGATGGTCTCAGCAGGGGTGGCCCTCAGCAGGCCTGGCCAAGTATGCTGAAGCAAAGACACAGAACTAAAGAACTTAGATCAGGTTTGTCACAGCAGAAGAGGACTGYGGGATCTCAGGGCTACAGTTTGAACAACCTAGTTCTTCAAATTTCAGTTCAAGACATACAGGAAGGAGGATTTCTCCTTACTTGTAGTCTGTACCATGTGAATCATGCCCATGAGATTTTTGTAAGGACTAGTAAGATACAAGCTGACTTCAGCAGTTATGTCAACTCAGGCTGCCATTTTACACAGAGCCAGGGTTGTCTGGCTTCCTGACAGAGGGGGACCTGGGGCCTAAGCAAAAGTACAAATGCAAAGAAACCCTGTAAAGGGCTACCTGAAAGAATTATTGATGATTATTAGTGATAACCAAAGAAGCAGTTATTATACTAGTAATAGCATGTATGTGTGTGCACTATTATGTGCACATGCTAGTATAATAGCAATAATTTATGTGTGTGTTCTCATGACCATAATAGAATGTTTATGTATGTGCATATATATGCACACAAATTGTAATTGTATTAGGACAGTTTCCTTGTATTGAGTACTTTCTAGATGTCTGACTTCATGCCATGAGCTTCACATTCCTTCCTCTGTGTAATCATAAAGTTCAATGTGTTCACCCATATTCACTCCACAAATATCTTCATGCCAGGCAGAGCACCAAGGACTGGGTCACAGGTGACAAAGAAAAGATCCCTGCACTTACAGGCTAGTGGGCAGAGACTAACAAGGACACTGGTAATCAGAACACAATGTGACATACTTCCTTAGCAATGTTTGAAAAAAGTATCGGGGTCCATACAGAATCCAGGAGGGAAAGTCCCAGAGTGTGTCCAAGAGGAGGCTGACAAGATGAGGAGGTGACACTAGAACTCCACCTTAGAGAATAAGCAGAAATCTGCCAGGTGAAGAGGGACAGCGGAGTCTCATCTGGTGCTGCTGATGTGTAGACACAAGGTGGGCACTAGGGGGAAGGCTGGGAGGCTGGCAGAGTGGGATCAGGAGAGACGAGCCCTGGGCACCATGCAAGGAGCTGAGTGACCCTGCATGGTGGGCGGCCAGGGAGGAGGGTAGCAGGCTTAGGTTCCCATTTTAGAAAGCTCACTCAGGCCATAGTGAGGGGCCAGGTTCAGACACAGGGATAGAAGTGGAGACATTGGAGTGGAGGCTGCTGTGATTTTCTGGCTGAGAGATGAGATCTAAACCAGGCGGTGGCAGTGAGGAAGGCCTGAGGCTGACATGTGGGTTGAAGGGCAAGAGCGGGCAGCATGGTGCCTGGCTGCACTGGCTGCCTGAGAATGAGGAAGTGTGGAGGGTGACTTGCAAGTCTGGGGCAACGGGTATGGGGGGCCACATAACAAGGGAAGGGAAGCTGGGTCAAGGGTCAAGGACAGGGGCTGGGGATGTGGCTCAAGCAGTAGTGCGCTCGCCTGGCATGCATGTGGCCCGGGTTCGATCCTCAGCACCACATACAAACAAAGATGTTGTGTCTGCCGAGAACTAAAAAATAAATATTAAAAATTCTCTCTCTCTTTCTCTCTCTCTCTCTCTCTCTCTCTCTCTCAAAAAAAAAAAAAAAAAGGGTCAAGGACAGATGTACTCAGTTTTGCAAAGTATCCAGGTGATGCGTGGCCAGAAGTCCTGCCTTTGCTTCTTTGGCCTCCCCATCAACTGGGATGCAGCCCTTTAGATCCCTGTGGCTCCTTCAGGGCCAGCTGAGGGGTGTCAGGTGTGATCTCCTAGGCTCCTCCATGTGGGGATGTTCTAGGATCTGGGGTCAAGACACTTCTCTGTGGGTCACCAGGGAGCAAAGGATTCTGTCTTCTGGAAACACCAGGGATAAGACTGCTCATCTAAAACACCCGTACAGAAGCACTTGGTGAAGAGCTGGGCATTCTCTCACTCACCCTCCTCACAGCCACTCTGGGCAAGTTCCACTTCTTGAGATGTCCCATAAATCTCATCCTAACAGTAGGTAATATCTATTGGGCTCTGACATGGTGCAGGCATTGCTCTAACCATTTCAAGTGTATGGATTCATTTACTCTCCATAATAGCCTCAGGAAGCAGGGATAATTTATTAACCTCATTTTATAGAGAAAGAAACGGAAGCTCAGGCAGGCTAAGCAACTTGCTTGAAATCACACAGGATTAGGATGTGCACCCACAGGGCTGGCCTCAGAGCCCGAATCCCTGCCCTAAGGATTCGAATCCCAAGTCACATCCTGATGCTCTGCTTTCTTTGCAGAGGGCTCCTCCCACTCACTCCCATTGGCAGGGTAAAGGCTTGGCCACCAGCCCTGGGTGTGCAGCAGGAGGCCAGCCTATTCAGTACCTAGCTTGAGGTGCAGGGTGGGCCCATTCCCAGCCAGGGTGGCATCAGGGGCGGCAGGAAGTGCAGGAGGGCTGTTGTGGAATTCCCAGCGCTTCATCTGCAGCTGTTGCAGCCAGTACAACATCACTTGCTTGGTGGCGGCCTGAGAAGCACAAGGATTAGTTGGCAAGGCCCTGTGCCTGCAGAATAGCATTAAGTATGGGACATAGGGAAGGTCACTGGAGGCTAGGACACTGTCTGTTCCCAGGGGGTAGAAATTGATTGTGTGGAATACCACATGCTTCTTGGCCACAGCTCAAGCTCTGGTCTTCCACTCAGGTTTCTCAACCTCTGTAGGCCGGTTTCCTCATCTGTGCTATGGTGACAATAACATCCATGAAATCAAAGTGGTTATGAGTATGAAATGAGATAAGTGAAATTAAGTGCCCTGCACAGTACTTGACAGGGCAGGTGTTCAAGATATGCTTATTAGATGGAGGAACACAGGTACTGTGAGAGCGGAAAGAACTCTGGCATCCTTTGGGTGGGTGCTGGACCATCACTCTCTCCTTGTGTGCTATCTCTAAGTCTTAACTGCATTTTTGTGGAATGGGGGTGATCCCTCCTGCCATGGAGTTGCATGGAAATCATGGATATGAATGGGGACCGAAGAGCCACATGTACACTGTGACAACATGACGATCCTTCATGTGCCCCAACATTCCAGATAAATTATGGGTGGACACTGGTCATTTATTAACCAGCATTAGACCACCCAAATACCCACTTTCACATCCATTCATTGGCTGGATCCTCAGAGGTAGGCAAGGCAGGAGTGACCAGCCCTTTCTATAGATGGAGACACTTGGCTCTGAAGCAGCCCAGGCGTGTGGTGGTAGAACCCCGAGACTCCAGTTCCAAACGGGAACTTTGTTCTAATTTATGGCCAGGATATTTGTTACTTATATAATGAAGACCTGAGATCTGCTACAGTGGGCACAGAGGATGGGCAGTGTTCTGGGAGTGGGTGGTGAGCCTCAAAGACCTGCCTGCAATCAAAGCCACATGAGAATAGCAGCAATGTGGCTATGTGGCTATCAGGGAAGCTTCCCATCTTGAAAAAACCACAGATGAAACATGACCTCAGCCAGGGGCTCAGAAAAATGGCCCTCAGTCTGTTGTGAAGGTATTGTTAAGATCAAACGGTGCTCATTAGTCCTCTGTTTCCATATACTATTCCCAACAGACCTCTTAGGGCTTCAGCATGACCTGAAGGCTGATAAACTCCAGCCAAATCCAAACACCCTGTTTTATCACACAATTCATTTGACATATACATAAGTATATATGTCAAATATATATTGAGTACCTAGTGCCAGGAGTGATGGCGCATACCTGTAATCAGTGGCTCAGGAGACTGAGGCAGGAAGATAACGAGTTCAAAGCCAGCCTCAGCAACTTAATAAGGCCCTAAGCACCTGAGTGAGACCCTGTCTCTAAATAAAATATAAAAAAAGGGCTGGGGATGTGGCTCAGTGGTTAAGCACCCCTGGGTTCAATCCCAGGTACAAATACGTATATCTATCACCTGTGATATGCATCAAGGACTGTGCTAGGCACTGGAAGATACTGTGGTGAGCCAACACACATGGTCCCTGTTTAGACAACATCATATGGAGGTCCTGCAGCCTCCTCATCCTTAGTCCCCTCCTGTCAGTGACTGATCCAGCCAGGCAGCCAGCTGGTTACTCGAGCCATCTCTGATGTCTCCCCTGCGTTCTATTTCCTATACATCTCTGGCCACTGCCATCTCCCTCCCTCCCCTGGAGCACAGATGTGGCTCATGCTTCATTCCCCCATGGTCACCTGCTGCTAGGCTTCATGATTTGTTCCATAATGGATTTCTCTTGATTTGTTTTCTACCCAGTGGTCATGCTTTCTAARCTTAAGCCTCTTAGACAACTTCCATAGCCTTCAGGGCAAAGTCCAAGCTCCTGAGCCTAACTCACAAATGCCCTTCCCTCTGCTCTCCATCTTTTGGGCCCCTGTATGGATCTCAAGCTCCTGTGATTTGCTGGGACACTTGTAGCTGCATCATGTTTTCTGATCTTTGCTCCCAGGGTTCTCTTGGCCTGGAGAACTATTCTTGCTTTTGTCCGCTTGTTGAAAACTTAGTTCTTCTTTCAAACCTCAGGTGATGCCTTTCTAGACAGCTCCTTAACCCACCTATCAGCACACTTTTCTTACATAGACTTACCAGGGTATTTCCACAGCACATTTACTATGTCTGCCAGTTTCCCTGCCAGTCTCTCCCACCATACCTCAAGTTGTCTGGGCACTGTCAGGGGCAGGGAAGCAGGTGGCAGGTCTGACTTGGCTCCATATCCCAGAAACTGGCACAGAGCAGGGCACATGTGAGGATCAATGGAATAGGAAAGRCCATGAGTTAGGAGGCACATGTGGAAGGAGACACATGCCTGGGAAGCACATGATCTCTAAAATGCCTTTCCTAGCCTGAAACTCCTAGTTTCCATTATTTTAACTGTGTCCTCAAGCCTGGTCATCAGCCAAACACCACCAGAAAAAAAACAAAACAAAAAACGAAACCTGTGGGCATCCACTGATGCCTGGTTAGCTGGAGGCTGTGGGGAGGGTGGGGAGGCAGAGTGGGGGAGGGAGGCTCTCTCCTTGCACACTCTTCTCTGATGCCCGCAGATATCTTAACCCAGATCTGTCTTTCCAATTAAGTGATGAGGTACTTCCTCTTAACATGAGCATTCTGATCTGGGTTCCAACATCCGGTGTGTGCATGTGTGTTCACTCAACAAACACTAAGTACCCACTAGTCTAGACATGCCTACACGACAATCTAGGTGTATCAGTGAATCCTACCTGTTTATCCTCCCAATCCCTGCCAATGTCAGCATTTACTCCCCTTGGCCCAAATATTAARAAGTGAATCAGACTCCTGGTCTTGAGAATTGCAACGAACAATATCTTGACTATACTTCAGTTCCAAGTAAGAAAATTTAGGTAATTTTGTAGTGAGGAATACCCAAAAGTAAAAGTTTTTCTTTTCRGCAGTGCTGGGAATTGAATCCAGGAGTGCTCTACCACTGAGCTACATCCTCAGCCCTTTTTATTTTATTTCAAGACAGGGTCTCCCTAATTTGCTGAGGCTGGCCTTGAACTTGAGATTCTCCTCCTGCCTCTGCTTCCCAAATCGCTGGGATTAAAGGAGTGTGCCACCATAAGCGTTCCAAAAGTAAAAGTTTTAATACAGCACGGAGATGTAGAAAGACTACAGGATTCCAAGGGTGGACTACACCATTCTAAATGCCTGACCTCGSGCCATTCACTCCTTCTTTCTTTGACTCAGTTTCTTGATCCAGAAAAACGGGTCCCTCATTCTGGCCTGCAGGAATGAGGAAACGAGTGTGAAGCGCCAGGGAACTCGCCCCAGGAGACCGTTCCATTTACCTTCAGCGTGATGACCCGGTTGGGAGTCCTGATTTCGAAAGTCCCCTCCTCAGCGTCTGCCTTGCAGTCAAACACCGCACTGGAGAGGTCGATGCTGTCCAAGGGATTAGCATCCTGCGCGGTCCGCGAGTAATAGAGGTGGCATTTCCTCTCGTCGTAGAAGAACCAGCGGGATTTCCAGCTCCGGATGGGCCCTTTGCCGCCAAACTTACTTAAATATCCACAGAGTTTCTTGGGAGCCTCCTCCAGCGGCCGGCCGCAGCCCTCTGACTCCGCTGGAGGCACCGCCTCAGTGAGTTTGGCGGAGCCGGGAGGGTCTTCGGACTCGGCAGCGGAGGAGCAAGACTCAGGGGTGTCTTCCCGGGCGTCTGCCATCGCCGCTGTCGGGCCACCTCGGAGGGACAGGAGGTCCGCAGGACCCTAGGGGCCAAATGCGAGGCTCAGCCAGCACCTTAGAGAGATAGACACCCGAGAGGGGGCGGAGCCAACGGCGGACCCGCCCCCAGAAGGAGACCAGGACGCGGCTCTGCAGCTGGAGCGCCCCAAACACAGCGAACCCAGGTGGGCGCGGTGKCCCCGCCCTCGCCTCAAACCAGGACCCGCCCTGCCTGCTGCCGGCTCCTCCCAGGCACGCCCACTTCCGGCTTTTCCTCCGCTCCTGTCAGCCATCTTTACTGAGGGCAGCTGAGGTGCGTGAGGCGGGTGTCAAATCATTAGCGTGGAGGCGTGAGAAGAAATATGGAAGGAGACGTCTGTCCCTGGCTACACTGCCCGCGTACGGCGCCCTCTGCTGCCTAATAGGCTGTCCGTCTTTTCCCTTGGTGGGCCGGCGCATCGCGCAGCCATTGGCCGAGAGGGTCGCTGGGCTTGGATCCCCACTTACGGCGCTGCTCGAGGTGCGCGGCTCCGGGACCCGCGCCCACCTCTTCGCTTGGCGTGTCTTTAGCGCCCGGCCCGCGTCCTCCGCCTCGGTCCCGGCTCTCTTTCGCCTCGTTCCAGGCCCCTTCGCTGCGCTGCGGCGATCTGGAGTCACGCCTGGGGCTTGGAAGGGTTCCGAACATTTTCTAAATAAATGGAAGTACCTAGGGTCTGGCTAACTCGCCCAGTTTGCCTCCTCACTTTACATCTTTACAGCTCCCAAAGCACCTTTCTCTATTAGGGCTATGCAGCTCATTCCCGTCCGCCTCTTTTAGGGGCTTCCTCAGGTCCTGCTCTGCCCTCCGCTGCGAAACCCTACTGAGTGGTCAGAGACCCTAATGAGAAGCCAAGTGGGGTGAAGGCGAGGGCTGGGAGTGCATCTGCATGCTTTTCAGATTCTGCTCGACCTTGTTTTTTTCTCCTATAGAGGTAACTGTAGCTCTTACTCTTCCCCATCCAATTTATGTGAAGCTAATGAGCTCCAAGTTCACATGCAGAGGCCACTGGAATTTGTAGTCCCCTAGGTGAGAAGGTTGCATACAGTAAGCATTTCTCCTAAATGCCAGAAGAGATCTCTTAATTCATTATGATTTACTTTCTTGTTCTAAATAAACATTCATCATCCTTCCCAATTTTGTGTTCATACACAAAATCTGGATCCACACCTACCTTTAGATTTTTTTTTTTTTGGTAAATAAATTAAATACGTGGGATGCCTTTTGGGGCGGGGTGGGGGGGACGGGCAGGGAACAGATACTGGGGATTGATCCCAGGGGCACTTTACCACTGAGCTATAGTCCCAGATCTTTTATTTAATTTATTTATTTATTTGAGAAAGAGCCTCAGCCTCCTAGATTCCTGGAATTACAGGCCTTTCTAATATTTACAAAAAAAATAAGGATGGAGAGATCAGAATGCTATACTAAGAATATAGTATATATCAAGTAGAGAACATCTAGTCTTTTACATTGTGTTCCATGTCATAAAGAAATTTTTTATTCCAAAAAAGCAGAATTTAAGCTGGTGGTGCACATCTGTAATTTCAGTCACTTTGGAAGTTGAGTTCAAGGCCAGTCAGCAATTTAGTGAGACCCTGTCTCAAAAAAAAAAAAAAAATTGTAAAGTGCTGGTATGTAGTTTGGTGGCACAGTGGGGCCCTAGGTCCAATCCCCAGTACTGGGGCAAAAAATAGAGTAAGAAAAATCTTACAAAGGCTTGAAAGTGGTGTGTTAAAATCTCCCATTGTTGGGGCTGGGTATGTGGCTCAAGCAGTAGCATGCTCGCCTGGCATTCATGCGACCCTCAGCACCACATACAAACAAAGATGTTGTGTCCGCCGAAAACTAAAAAAATAAATATGGAAAAAAAATCTCCCATTGCAACTGTAGTATTTCCCGGTTTTCAGCAAGGTGAATCTTCTATATTACCTACCATCCTTTGTGTTTACTGCTTTTTGCCTTGAGCTCTGCTTTATTGGCCTTTGTTTACAGCTAACATTTACTGAACACTTATGCAGCCCCATGTTCTGTATTAAGAGCAACCCACAGCTGTGCACAGGGCCCATACCTCTCACTCCAGAAACTCAGGAGTCAGGAAAATCATGAATTTGAGGTCAGCCTCAGCAACTTAATGAGCTCCTCAGCAATTTAGCAAGATGAGGTCTCAAAAAGCATTGAGGATGTAGCTCAGTGGTAGAGTGCCCCTTGGTTCAATTCTCAGTACCCCTCCCCTCAAAGAGTGGGCAGAATTTGCCTTAGTACTTTGTCCACAACATATGAGGATTTGAAAATAATATGAAAAACCTAATCATATAATGAAATCTCTTGAACATAAAAATAGATTGTCTAAATAACTGTTGGGTAAAAGGAAAAATAGAAGCTGCCAATATAAACCATTTGGTGGGGAGAGTAGAAGACAATAAAAACTGCATGTATCAAAATTCAGCACTGAATGCTTAAGTTACTGGAATTAATATGGACTCCAGGATCAGAATTTCAGCACAATTGATTATTTAATGTGAAACCCTGGATAAGATATTTTGGGCTGGGGATGTGGCTCAAGTGGTAGCGCACTCACCTGGTGTGCGTGAGGCTCGGGTTTGATCCTCAGCACCACATACAAAGATGTTGTGTCCGCCAAAAACTAACTAAATAAATAAATAAATACTAAAATTCTCAAAAAAAAAAAAAGATATTTTGCTTCCCTGAGTACCAGTTTTCTCATCTGTGAAATGATGGTAATACCTACCTCATAGGCTTGAAGGGAGGGTTGGTTACATAAGACTTGTAAAGCACTTACTATAGTACCTGCCATGTAGCAATCACTCAGTAAAAAGCTACTGTGGGATGTGGCGAGTATTAGCAGAGGGAATTTAAATGCTTGTATTATTTTAGATGAATATAAAAACAACCATTCAACAAATAAAAGCAAGAAGGAATCAACAAAGACAAAAGTTAAAAAACACTGAATGACTAGTCTAACAAATATATATAAGGATCTATCTATCTATATCTGTGCTTTACACATAAGATTTTTTTGTACCTCATGGAACAATTTGTGCCCCCTTGGGAGAGTATTGCCCTAGTTGAAATGAATGGCATTGGGACATAGGAGAACATTAGAATTTCAAATCAGTGGAGGAAACAACTACTAAGTTTTCTTTAGATATTTACCTTTTACCATCTGTCTTAGTCCATTTGAACAGCTGTAAACAAAATACTTTAGACTGGGTAAATTTTTAAACAACAGAAATATATGTTCACAGTTCTGGAAGCTGGAGAGTCAAAGATCAAGGTGCTAGAAGATCCAGTGGCAAGAAGTTGCTTTCTGTTTGAAAGCTGGCACTTCTTGGCACTTTCTCCAGGGGCAGAAAAAGCAAACTACCTCAAACTTCTTTTATAAGGACATTAATCTCATTCATAAGGGCTCCACCCTAATGACCTAATCATCTCCTAATGGCCCCACTGCTTGATACTATCACATTGGATATTAAGTTCAGATATAGAAAGTTTGGACACCAACATTTAGACCCTAGCACTATTTATCAAAATAGAGTTTGGGTTGGTAGAGAACTGTATTCAAAAAGTGAAATCACGACACAATGCAATTGTAGTGGCACCCTCCCTCCACAGAAAATCTTAATGAAGCTTCTCCAGAAATCTTCACCATAATTGATCTTAGGACTATCAGCATACGAATCTCTACAAAAGAGTTCAATGTAGTTAAAATTCTTATTTCCTGTTGCTCTATCTTACTTGGCCTGGAAGAGATCAATACTCCAGGTGTTGAATGCCCCTTTACTAGTTTTTCACAAACATTGATGGACTGTTTAATATAAATAACAACATACATAATAGTTTGTAGGCATGTGCTGGCAAATGCAGAGTGTAATAAGAAAAACAGATTCTTTTATCTAGGCTCCTGGCCTTGGGCTGGAGCTTCACAGAGATGTTTACCTTTCAAAGATAAGAGAGGAGGTAACTAATTGGGCTCCATAGTAACATCTGGCAGGGGAGGGAAGAAAGGGGAGAAGAAGCTCTCCCCTTCTCAGGTGCTGTCCTTGAAGGGTTAACTTGCCCAGAACAGTGGAAGAAAAAGCTGTTTTTTTGTGAACTTCTGCAGACTGTGAACTTCTGAGCCCCTCCCCTTACATGCTGGGTGTAAAGTTCTGAACCTGCCTGAATTCAGGGTTCAGGGGGATTAATTGATTACAGTGAAAGCTGTGCCCTCTGAACCTTGCTGTAGCCAAATGAAACTGTTTCCTGCTGTCTTTGGTGCCCTGTATTGTCTGTCCCCTACTACACAATGGAATATTATTCAGTTACAAAATAGATGAAATTGGAGGGCATTATGCTAAGTGAAATAAGCCAAAGGACAAATATTGTATGATCCCACTTATATGAGTACCTAGAATTGGCACAGTCRTAGAGACAGAAAGTAGTTACTAGGGGCAGGAGGGAGAAGAAATGGGATTTATTGTAAAATGGGAACAGAATTAATTTCTTTTCTTTCTTTTTTTTTTTTTTTTTTGGTACTGGGGTTTGAATCCTCTACTGGGGCCCTCTACCACTGAACTACACCTCCAGCCAAGATCTTGCTAAGTTGCTTAGGGCCTTGCTAAATTTCAGAGGATGGCTTCGAATTTGCAGTCCTCCTGCCTCAGCCTCCTGAATCTTTGGGATTACAGGCATGCACCACCACACCTGGCTAGAATTTCTTAAAAAAATAAAAAATAAAAAAAAAATTTATGAAGTTATGATAAACAAAAATCTGTACATATTTAAAGTATACATCTTAATGAGTTTGGCAATAAGTATAAACGGTGGCACACACCTGTAGTCCCAGCAGCTCGGGAGGCTGAGACAGGAGGATCTCAAGTTCAAAGCCAGCCTAACCAATGGTGAGGTGCTTAGCAACTCAATAAGACCCTGTCTCTAAATAAAATACAAACTAGGGCTGGGGATGTGGCTCAATGGTTGACTGTCTCTGAGTTCAATCCCCAGTAMAAAAAAAAAAAAAAAAGTAAGAAAAAAGAATGAAAATTATCG